TAAATGAATTTAACCGCAACCGTATTCTTGTTACGTGTACATCGTCTCCCATCATCTCTTACGCCTTTCAACTTATCCGTATTAGGAGTGCATTGTCCTTTCGTGATGCTGATTTGATATAAACTAATTTTCTTAATATAATTTCAAAATAAAATGCACTTGCGCTACTGACGTAATGTCTAATACATTTAACCTTTCCATTTTGGGAATTGTAAATTTCCCCATTTCTGAGGCGATTTACAACACCATTTTAAAAGAAACAAAAAACAAAAGTTCAGGTTTCTAATCGAATCTCCACAACTTATAGGCCAAGTAAATAAGAAAAAAAGTTGTAAATTTTTGCAATCAATTCGTAGGCATCGAAATGTGGCATAGTGTTTTCAAGTTTTAAAGCCCTTCACAGTTTCTAAGCACCGAAAGTTTGCTTACTAGTTTTAATAGCATATACAATATAGCTCTAGAGTTGTAGAAGCGTTATAGTAGTTTTAAATTTTACTATATAAGCACATCTAAATGTGTTTAATGGCAATTCCAATATACATGCCGAAGTGACTCTTAATAAAGTTCGCGCTCGTATGCGATACATTTATGCATTATAAATTGTGTATAAGTGAGTAATAAATAACAATTAACTCTTATAAATCAATCCATTTAAGGACTGTTCTAAATTTATTAATAATTAATTGTAAATAAGTAAATCACGTAATTACATTTACGTTACAATATCTTTATATTAGCGAACACCCAGACAAATATCATCAATATCGGAATTTTTGTTGCACACTCACCTAAGGATGCGTAATATTCCCAAACATTGTTAACATTTCTTTACCAATCTCTCCGAAGAAAGGGAAAAACACGCTGCCTTAATAATGAACAATCAACAAGATTATTATAAAACGAGAACTATATTCTGTGCTAAAATTAAAATTAACTGCACGTTAGTAAAGGGAGGTGTGGCAGTAGAATCCAAAGTGATCCACTGTTTTGATGGAAATACACGTTTTGAAGCACCAAGAAGCCGAATCAAAGAAAATCTGGATGACGTCGGTCTGCCTGTTTGTACTCTCATTTCTGACTGAAATAATTGAAACCAAAATTGGTACACATGTTCTTAGACGAAGGAGGAGCTGAAGAGCTATTACCTCCAATTGAACCAAACTTTGCAAAGAACTAAACCTAATTACGTATGTGGGAGTGTTGTCTGTGCTAGCCACAGCCAATTTTTACCACCCATATGTTAGTAAGGGAGTTATTGCGGGGTGAAAAATGATCCCCACTTTTTTTACGAAAATACACGTACACGTTGTACCAGGAACCTGAATGAAGTCGATGATGTCGGTTAGACTTTCTGTCACTCTGTTTGTCTGTACTCTCATTTCCGTATAATCGACTGAACCGATAGGAACCAAATTTGGTACACATAGATAGCAATAGTTTTTAACAGAATCGCGCATGCGCAGATGTGCGGGTTGTATCTGTGCTATCCGCAGCAAATTGATTCTTTTAGCTTTCGATTTTTATAGGGTGTTCAGGAATTCACATCAAATTTCGTAGATTCGGAAATGTGTAAACTAAATTTTTATAGAAATTTCCTTCTTTCTATTCTAAGTTAAATTCTACACTGAAAATGTACGACAATAACTATACATCTTTATCTAGAATGAACAATTTTTGTTGAATTTGTGCCGAAAATAAAAATACAAACAAAAAAAGACATTCGGGCAAGGTCAAAATTTTAAAGAAGGTAAAAATAATACAATAATAACTAATACGAACTTGTTCTCTTACACAAATCACAGATTTATTCAATAATAAGCTACAAATAAAAATCACTCAGGGCCAGAGACAATCACGCAACACAGGCAGTCGATAGAAACAGGTTTAATAAAGTCTTATATATTCAAATCCAATGACCCCGTGGCGTCTGTCGCTGCCAAACGCTTGAACCTATTCGGTTGAAACTTTGCACAGTAGACTTATATGCCGCATTTAACAAGTCTATTGAAAATGGATCAAATCCAATGACCCCGAGCTGCTCTGTCACTTTTTTAGTTGCTCTTTAGGGGTTTATTCAATTTGGACCAGTGGTTATGGAGCTGTAGTAATAATTATTCTAACCAACGCCATTTTCCACGATGGCGGCCAATATGGCGACCGCCGAGTTTATCCTCCCCAAAAAAACTGATCCCCATGCCACAACCCACAAATAACTATCCAGGAAGGGTGGTCAAACTTTAATAACACGGAAACTCCCAACATAGCATTCATATGTACTATAGATAATATCGAAAAAGTAAAAGAGAACTTAAAAGAAAACTGTGGTGGAACTGAGGAAAGATAAAACTTTAAAAAATACGTATTATTAAGAAAAATGCTGAATCATAATCTACATACCTCACACTTATTGCATGCAAAAACAAATCCGCAAAGTGCTTCAATGGAGCACATCAGCCACAGAACATCAGAAAAAGAGAAACCATTCCAAAGAAATATGGTGATAGTCAAAACCATAAGGTTCAAGTAAGCAATAAGTCAAGAAAAAAGTAATAGTGTACTAGGAAAAAAATAATTTGTATGCAACCAATATGAAGGCAAAATCTTTACTGTGCCAACGGAATGAAAGGAATTCATAATGTAGAAAAGAAAAGAAGATGGCAACCTCCAGCGGGGAAAATGAAAAACTATTGTAAAAGAAACCTATTACAATCGGATGGCCTCTAGCTGCCGAAAATAAGGAACTAAGGTAATAGCAACTCTACTACAGGAATAACTTACATTTTAACTCAACGGGTTAAAATGAAAATAAGATGGTGTAAGAATATTGAATATAAACGACTGCGAGCAGTAGTGGAAATGAAGCTCATCTATCCTACGTCATTTGATATCTGTAGAGCATTGTTTTCTTAATGGATTCCTTATGCCGGGAGATTGGATCTCGGGAACTCAGTTAATTTGGTTATAACTGCAAATGCAGTATGAGATCATGCGGTAACGTAGAAAAAAGCAAAATTGGCATATTTTATGAGTACGTGGGATTTTATTCGTAAGGTGGAAAGAAGCCAGTAAACGATTAAAGACATCCGGCTAGGCAAGGGCGAAGAATAAATTCAGTATACTCGTAATTGTAAAGTTATTATAGTAACCGGAGTAGAAACGACCGTTAAAAAATCAAGGTGTAAAACTGACAGAGCAACTTCCTCCTGTTGCGTTAATATCAGAAAGATTTGAAAAATTTTAAAAACCTGCGATTAACAAACTCTTATAATAATAGATAAAAATCTGCTTGAACGCAATCCAGAAAACTACCAGGATTTAAACGTGAACAAACTGCAATAACTAAAGAATAATTGCATCATTTGGAAATTCACCCAAGTATTTTTTATATTTGTTATATTATTTTAATATCGGTCGCATACTCACTGTTTAAGTAGATAAACCTTGAGCTAGATTTCACCAGTGACTATTGTGTTTATAAAAGCGATTATTATTATTTTTAAAAAAAACGGAGACAAACACCAAACAAGATAGTCTTTATCGACAATATTGACAGTTTATAGGCCTTGGTGCAGGAGGATTCGATCCCCAAATCACTTTTCTTCTTTTGCAAAACTGACCACTTTTTGGTGACGGATGATACCACAATTAAAGCGCCTATTTCATCAGATGTATTGAGTTGTTTTAGCGACCTTTCATTTGTCGTTTGTTATGCTAAATCCTATACACGTTTTGATCCTTTGATTAAGCAAACTTAAACACGTATATCTGTGGCGATATTTGACTGTGGAGAGGAGCTCTGTTGTCGGCCATTGTTATTACTTTGGGTTATTATTTATTATGTTGGTGTGTTAAAAAAATGTATTGAAATAAATTTTAAGGGTTGGTTAAGTGCGCCAAAAAATAAACGCACATCAAAAAAAATCCGCAGGCTAAAAGACACATGAAATGTGTATGCGCAGAGTCGCAGGCGGATGTTTCCGAAATTTTAACAGATCTTTCATCTCGTCTTTCATAAAATTAAATTGACCGCAAATAATGCGCATGGTCAACATCAATTGTCTTATTTGTGAGGTGATTTTTTTTTGAAAGTTTGACCGTCTTCTCGTAAAAGTTAACGAAAAGCGTATTTCAAAAATTGGATCACACAGTCATGCGTACACCGTATGTCTCTTATTTGTAGATCAATTGCCGCTTGTCCAAATTATAAAGTTAAACTGGGCATAAATGTCAAAAGGGGTTCATACATGCATGACCAAGACTTGTCTCTATCGGTCAGCGCGCTTTTCTGTTGTTTGTTGCAGGAAATTTTAATGCATTTCAGTATTATCAAGGATTTATTTATTGGCCATGCATTTCGAAATAACAGCTGACATTACGTCAAACTCATTAGGTTTTTGGTAAAACAATTTTCCCCTACGAAGTAGGTAAATAACCGGAATGTGGTTTGTTTTTCTCATTGCAAAGGAGAAATTTTTCCAGTTTACGTCTACGACATCCTTCGATTTAGTATCTCGTGCGATTACGCAACGTGTACGTCCTTATAAAATGAAGTAAACAAATGCAGTTATTGTAATTATCAATGGAGTTAAATTCCAGTTTTAATGTTGAGGTCAAATAAGCCGTAAAAATTTGCACAATTCGATTACAAAACCTCATTATTTTAAAAGAACGTTCCAAATAGATTTAGCTAATGTCGCCCTTTCGACTCTCATTTTTTAACGTTTGCAATCACATGGATGTATATTTTCTTTGTTTGCTTATTGGAAAATGCCGGTTACAGTAAAAATTTTATTTCTTTACTATAGCGAAAATGTTCTCCCGGTGGCACAACGCGATACAAATTGTGAATTAATCGAAGGAGATTATTAACCGCTGTGATTTAGATAAATGAAATGTAGTTTGGTGAAATTGATTAGTTGGGAAAGATCTTAAGGATTAAGTAACTTCATCACTCAACTGACCGATAGTGTCAGAAGTGATCGATTGTTACGTTAGCGGTTCGACATCAATGGTCCCCTATTGATTTAAATTGGTACAGGAATCAAATTCAATTGTCAGAAATTGAAACTGAAGAGCCAAACGAAGGGTGTATCTAAGCGTATTATTAATTTAAACAAGCGTCGATGGCAATCAAATGGAAACGTTTAGAAGGATTCTAACGGATATGGAATCATTCCGGCGTTATTCGATTCAAGGAAAAATAGATAAAAAGCTTTCTAATCAAATTGTTCTTTAGGATTTAACGAAAGAGATAAGCGTATGATACGGAGATATATATATTTCTGGTTCAGGTCTGATAAAACATTCTACTTGGTACGATCAAAAATAAACATTCAACTGAAGAGTCTACAATTAGATACCAGTTACTTAATAAGGGTTTAAAATGAAAATTGCTATAATCGGTGCTGGACCATCTGGACTAGTCTCCACGAAGTACTCTTTGGATGAAGGGCATGAAATTGACGTCTATGAGCAGTCGGGTTATATTGGTGGTACTTGGATGTACACTGACCGTATTGGGGTGGACGAATATGGATTTCCGGTACATTCTTCCATGTACAAAGGGCTAATGTAAGTAGCATTTTGATAATAAATTTAAGTTAAGCGTCAAGAGGTCTAATACTTTTCATTTATTTGTCGATACATGCAAATGGAATGCTGGGGTCAAAAGTGGTTTATAATCAACTACTTAATTTAAAATTTAAGACACTCGTGTTCATGGTACCAACTCATCATTTTGCATATTATGTAATTATTCGATTTAATTGCGATTAATTTAACCAGAATTTACAAGAAAATAAACTTGCCCAAATTTGCAATTAACCCACCGCGTTGCTTAGATCCTCAAAGCGTGAGAAATTTGAAAATGTCTTTAACCTCTATTATATTATCGTAACGATAAAAGAGATCACGTTTACTTGCACAATTGTAACATTTTATATAACGTTAGTCACTTGTGATAATGGTAACCAAAATTATGATTGTTTCACGCGTTACTTACTTAACTTTTTCATTTTTTTATATTTAATGTTGTTATGGTTAAAAATGGGTACTATTTTTGACTTTAACAAGACCGCTTTGAAATAAACTCAAAATCTTTTCTTAAATAATTGTAATAATTTTAAACATTTATACTGAAACGTAAATTTAATTACGTGCTTTATTTATTTACAACCAATTACCGTTAAATTTATAACAGTATTGAAACGAATCGATTTGTAACAGTGAAAATATTAGTTATTACTCACACATACACAATTTATAACGACGCGAACTATTTATTACTTCGGCGTTGAAATCACGAACAACAGCAAGGCGTGCCTCTGCTTTCTAGAGTAATGTGCCACAAATTCCGCGAAAGTGGCATCACATTCGGGCTAATTCTGTTCTGCGCATGGAACCAAACGATTTATGCGCCCGATCACCGGCTTTCCTCGTGGTAGTTTAATTATCCGGTATACTAAGTCATTTATTCTCTTCACGACAACATACGGTCGTTCCCAAGCTCTCTGTAATTTCGAGGATATCTCGCGTCTCCTCTGGGAACAATACAACCAAACCAGATCTTCAGGTTGATAACCACCAGCTTGGGCCTTCACGCTGCCAGCCAACTGCTTGGTGCCTTTTTCTTTCCGACTGATCCTTGGCGCAAACTGCACATTTACTGCACCATTCCTTCACATCTTGTTTGCAATTTACCTAGTAGAATCGTTCCCTCAACTTAACTGTTTTGGTCACACCCAGGTAGCCTCCCGATGTAACATCGTGCATCTGCCGTAGTACTTCAGATATTCTGTTCTCCTGGATCAGTATCTGTGCAGTTGTGGTCGTGCCATCGTCATTTTCTATAACCCTTTTAAGAAGACCCTAACATCATCCCATTTGACCAGCTTCGAATTAGGTTCCATTGATTGTTGACCAGCTTCGAATCCGGCCTCCATTTCTTGCATTAATTGTCATACCGGGAGATTTGCAGGTATTGGTTCTTGGGCTACGAGATCGTTACGTACATGGTCCAAGATATTAGTTGTTTTTTGAGCGCCAAACACAAGATTAATTCGAGTCTGGATTGCCAGCGCAAGCAGTTGTAATCCGAAAGAAAAACTTTTCTGATAGATTCATTTTTATACCAATCGCGCAGATTAATACTTTCTGCGTAACATTTCAAGCAACAAAAAAAGTTGGTTCGTTCTTTTTCGGAGTAAAAATTGCGGTCTTATAACTTGTGATTGCGGGTATTTTCCTTAACATAAAACGCAAGTTACGTGCGTTTACAATTGAGTGAACTTACATCCATAAGGAATTAATTCGAACGTGCCAGTTATTATCTATGCTCAAGAAAAAGGTTAGTGAATACATAAAAGACAATACAAATTTTTGAACAGTTGGCTATGCGGTTTATCGTCGCGTAAAATTGCTACTCTATTTAGTCGAGAACAAAATCGCTTAAATTTTTCATATTGTATTTGTTCCCTACAAAGGCGCTATTATTTATGATTAATAGTCAGTTTCTCGGGCGCGAAAGCAATAAAAAAAGAGGGGGACCTTCCCAGTTAGAATTCGTAAAAAAAATGAACTGGTTTTCAATGCACGTACTAGAAAAACATTCGTAAAAGTAAGGCGTATAATCCTGGGTGCCTAGTGGAAATTTCTCCAATTAAATTAACACAAAAGACGTTTGAAACCCCTGAAAAACATTACGCTTTTGGGGTAGCGACCTCTAAACATTGAAATTTCGTCCAGAGGGCAACGACTCCCTGTCAAATTCGTAGAAGAAAAGGTATCCGACGGAAAGATCCTTTTTACAGTCCGTATCATCCTATAGCTGTACGAAATATTGTATCAACTTCGTCATCTCTAGAAGGACATTTTTTCACATAAGGTACCGTTATTTTATTTATGTAAATTTAAAAGTTGTTTATCTTTAAGAAAACAACCATGATTTCTAATTTTGTTTCACGTTTAAACATTCTCAAGTAAAATTCTAATTTCAACGTCCTTAAAGATAACAATCTCTGGATAAATTGAAGCCGTTTGTATTGTATGTACATTGAAATTGTTAGAAAAGCTCAGTTTTCGATTTAAAGTTGTTTTTAGTTTTAATAAAGAACATTTGGTTTAAAAAATCGTAGTGGATGCTGTAATTCTGTAAAATGGAGTTTGGATCGATTTCATGATTGATTTTGTCATTAATATATCCAAACTATCGTAATTCGGTGTTTAGAAAAACAGATTTTGAAGTCAACTTTCACAAATAATAAGGAGGAATTTTCAGTAAGTCATTTATGTTGAGGGCTAGCCGTGGGTCATTTGCAAAATTTGCTATACAATTTTCGAGGCCATTTTTGGAAAAATATCGGATTTTAAGGAAGGCAATACGCAAACCCGTTGCAAAATGGCGCCCACATGGGACAACAAGATGACCCTAAATTTCGAAGCTTTAGAACTAGCCCACACAGCCCGTATATTTATACACTTTTGGATATTTTACATCTAATGCGTTGTTTTCGATAATTTATCCGAGGTCGATCGAGAAAATAATTAGCTGTAACACCACAAAAATTTTATATTCATACCGCTAATTGTGCCAAAATTACAGAGATGAGCCTATAATTTGGTTTACACACGGTATAAAAACTGATACCTAAAACGAATTGGAGCATTAACATAAGAGATTCCACCCAAACAAAGGTCATATCGACAACTTTTTGTAGTTCTCTTTACCAGAAGTGACGTCCAATGAGATAAAGCATAATAACCTCGATTTCCAATAGTAAATATCGTCATACGTCATCCGATATTTATAGGAAATAATTATTCTTCAGGGCAAATAAAAATAGAATACATACTTTAGTAGGTATTTTGAATTAAATCACACGATCGCGTGGCTATTGAAACCGAAAATTCTCAATTAGCAACGTGGTAAATTAAATTAGTTTAAATTATTGAAATGAAACTAACGATTTATTCTCAAGAAGCAATCATTGAAAAATTGAATTTTATCCTGAAGTCGTTTACAGCTAGTACCATACAACAGAATGTCTTCAACAGAAGCATTAACCAATGTTTGTGTGCCGCAGGGTTTCATACGAGGCCCTGTAGTAGTGTACACTGTATCCAAGATAAGGATGTCTATCATGGGGATCTTCGAAACCATAAAAGATACGACGATGGTCAAACCAGAGAAAAGATCTATTAAAGAGTGCTGTAAACAAAACCGGTAAATTCCAATGATTTTCGAAGAAAAACCGAAATTTGCCAATTTTGTTTTTCTATTATTATTTGAACAAAAAAATAAAAAAAACCCTCTGTATACTCGGCTTACTTTAAAGCCAACGTAGATGCTAAATTATCTAATACATACATATAAAAATTTTAATGCCACATGCCTTTGCAGCCTTAGGAAAGCCCATTGAGTTCGAAATTGTGCGAAATTTGAGGAATAATGTGACCTGATGACCATCTAACGCCATTTAATTGTTTCAGGACCAATGTCCCCAAAGAAATAATGACCTTCTTGGATTTTCCCTACCCGAAACAACAAACGAAATCGTACATCTCCCAGCAAGAAGTTATAAAGTACTTCAACCAGTACGCCGATACATTCCATTTAAAGGAACACATTAAGGTATTTATTCACAAACACTTTGGAAACGTGTTTTAATGCAGATTATTTCAGTTCTATAAACGTGTCACTAAGATAGCAGCAGAAGGCGCTAACGGCTGGGGCATTACGGCTCAAGATGCGAAAACAAAGTTGACCGAAACGCAGGCCTACGACGCCGTCTTCATCTGTACAGGCCACTACAGCGTTCCCTACGTACCGAAATTGCCAGGACACGACCAATTCACCGGAGAGCAAGTTCATAGTCACAATTTCAGGACTTGCGAGTCTTTCAAAGGAAAAAACGTGTTGGTTATCGGTGGCAGTTCCTCGGGGGTTGATATCGCCGGGTTAATTTCGAAAGTGGCCAATAAGGTAAGGTTTAAGTTCGTACTAGCTCGGGTATTTGAATTAGTTTCTTTCCTAGGTTGTTCTTTGTTATCGCTCAAGGCTGAAGAGTAGCGACTTAGACAACGTCGAAAAGAAGCAAGAACTTTCGAATATTACGCCAAGCGGAGTCGTCTTCCGAGATGGAACCGAAGATACCTTTGATACCATCCTGTATTGCACAGGCTATAAATATTCCTTTCCATTTTTAACGGAAGGGTGCGACATAAGAATTGAAAATAACTGGGTGAAGCCTTTATACAAGCACATCGTGAACATCAACCACCCGACCATGTGCTTTATTGGAATACCGTATTATCTATGCGAGATACCCGCACTAGACATAGAGGTAAATCATCCCAAAATGCGACAAACACTAACTAAAACAATTCTAGGTACGTTTTGCCTTAGCAGCCGTAGGGGGTAAGTTTTCTCTGCCTCCCAAGGAGGAAATGCTACGTGAGTTGGAGGAACAGAACGTTGAACGCTTAACGAACGGTTTGCACGAAAGATACGCGCACCGCATTAAGGGGGTCCAAAGTCAAGAAAAGTATTTTAAGGAGCTTTCCTCGGTAGCGAATATCCGCCCGATGCCTATTGTGTTAAACAAAATTCTGGATTGGGTGGATAACAATAAGAGAGATTTGACTAATTGTATTAAGATCATTGATAGCGAAAACTTTGTGCAGTTTAAATGTTAACTTTTTAAAATTATTGTATATTTATTATATTCGGGTTAGGTATTAAATAAATTATTGACTGAAAATAACTCGCTCGCTTTAAATTAAAAATTGAACTAGAACGATGAAGTTAATGTACTGTTTCATAATCCTAATGCTTTAGACATTTCCTAATTTAGAAAAAATATTGACGTAAAGACTGTTTCGTCATCTTTTTCGCAATATAAGTGCATGGAATTTTTAGTAAACTCTGGACTAGATATGCAGAGATTAATTTTTAATTGAGAAAGGAAACGTGAAGAAAAAAATTTAGTTTGATAATCACATGCACGCGTTTTTATCTATTTGTTACTATGAGGATAAATAAAGTGCGCAATGTAAAAAATGGACGGGGTTGAATAAATTTCTAGGTAGTTTTTTAAAATGCGTTCTGAATGATACGTTAAGCGCCATCTTGTGGACTAATTTGACAACTATTGCAGTATCCTTACTGTGTAATGACACGTTGCAATAAATATAATACGGGGGTGGTAAGTTTTTTTTGTTTCTTATTTCTAATAGTAAATTTACCATTTATTGCCATGGGTCGTTTTGATAAGTAGATGTCTAGTTTGACTACATAATTATAAATGCTAAAATTTAAAGAGGATATGTAAGATTATTACTATAAAGTAGAATGCGCTATTCCCCAGTACGTACAGATTTGGATAACGTAGTCTCTGCAACACATGCTCAGCAGATGGTGCTAGCGTAATTAAATCTAATTATGGAATTTGATTGCAATCTCTAATAATTATCACTCTGTGGCTTGCAAAATACAGATAATGGAATACTTTTGATATATAGGTACCTACTATTAAAGCTAATTTCAAATTTTTTTAACTTTATACGCCGAAATTTGATATCTCATATAACAATAAATGGAGGTTATTAACACCATTATTATTAATAAACAATTACATGTTTTGAAGAAGTACATATTATAACTTAACTTAAAAATTAAAGGAAAAGCAGTGGGGGATGGAATCTGCGCCAAAGAGAAGTGTTTTAAATTAAATTATTTCATGGCGAATTTTAATTTAATTCAGTTTATATATTAAATCCTACCTAGATTTAAAATTTTGCATTCATTTGATTCATTGCTCCATAATAGACTTATAGTCCAGTCAATAGAGAAAAGTTTAGTCAAAAATTTGGTGTCCAAGAGGTTATGACTGTTTCTTATGTATTTTTTGGCGTAGATTCCGAATTTTTAATCTCCCACCAACCTTAGGGGGTGGGAACCCCCCCAAAAATGCAAAAAACCCCAAAATTTCGGCCCAAAATTCAGAATTTTGGAAAAATCTCGCTAAATTTAGATTTTTGGCCCAAAGTACCTTAGTTCAAAATTAAAGTACACAAAATTTGCAGGAAAAGTGATATATACACTTTTGGTCTAGGACCAACGGGGGCGGAGATAAGAGGGGGGTCAAAAAAGGGTACTTTGTTGGAAAACGTGAAAAAAACGGAATTTCTCTGAATAACTCGCTAAATGTTGGTTTTAGAGAAAAAACTCAAAGGACCAAAATGAAAGTAGACGAAAAATTACTTCGGAAAGTGCACGTGTGCGGAGCCGATGAAGGGGGGGAGGAGGGGGAGGGGGCGAGCGCAAAACCTCTCTTCCTGGCGCCGCGCGACGGCACTGGCATAAGGCGCTATACGCGCAGTTTCGGGTATCTCTGGCGGCCTCGGTCCCGGTCATAACGGATGCTTCTTTGTCCTTATTTTAGAAAGGGGCCTCTGGCTTCCCCCTCCCTCTTGTTGGTCGTTTGTATGCTTTTTGTGTCCTCTGGAAACCAGTTCAAGATCCCTCTTCAGTGCGTCTGTGTAGTCGCGTCGTGCGCATCACGCTATATTGCTCCCTGCTTATTTACTATTTTTCGGTTAAAAGTTTGTTGTTTTTACCGAAATTTTCTGTAATATCGTGCTCGCGCGCCTGTGCGTTTTGAGTTTGTTCGCTTGCATATACTCTCGAGGGGAGAGAGTGGAACTAGTTTTAACCTTCATGGTACTCTAATGAAAGGTCTCAACGCAAGGAATTAATTTCTACCAACCATAGCCCTCCTCCTCGACCTCTTATCGTGATCGGGTATATTACCTTATACCTCAAGAACGGATTGTCGGAAGAGGGTACTATCAAAGGGCGATTGAAACGTCTGCAAGAAATATATCCATTGGTGATGTCCATACAAAAGCTATTTCGGTTAAAAAAATGCGCTTTATCTGCACAGGAGTTGTGCACAATTTATACTTGTTTATTTAGTGCTCGAGTTACAATTTTTGGGGGAGATTGTAGTATTTGTCTGAAATTCTGATTTGCATGGCGGACAGCAAGAAACGTTACTTTCGCACTTTTTTAGGCCATCTTTAAATAAAAACTCAACCTCTACTGGCTCAGGCGAAAAATAGTAAATAAGCACGGAGCAATATAGCGTGATGCGCACGACGCGACAACACAGACGCACTGAAGAAGGATCTTGAACTGGTTTCCAGAGGACACAAAAAGCATACAAACGACCAACAAGAGGGAGGGGGAAGCCAGAGGCCCCTTTCTAAAATAAGGACAAAGAAGCATCCGTTATGACCGGGACCGAGGCCGCCAGAGATACCCGAAACTGCGCGTATAGCGCCTTATGCCAGTGCCGTCGCGCGGCGCCAGGAAGAGAGGTTTTGCGCTCGCCCCCTCCCCTCCTCCCCCCCTTCATCGGCTCCGCACACGTGCACTTTCCGAAGTAATTTTTCGTCTACTTTCATTTTGGTCCTTTGAGTTTTTTCTCTAAAACCAACATTTAGAGAGTTATTCAGAGAAATTCCGTTTTTTTCACGTTTTCCAACAAAGTACCCTTTTTTGACCTCCCTCTTATCTCCGCCCCCGTTGGTCCTAGACCAAAAGTGTATATATCACTTTTCCTGCAAATTTTGTGTACTTTAATTTTGAACTAAGGTACTTTGGGCCAAAAATCTAAATTTAGCGAGATTTTTCCAAAATTCTGAATTTTGGGCCGAAATTTTGGGGTTTTTTGCATTTTTGGGGGGGTTCCCACCCCCTAAGGTTGGTGGGAGATTAAACATTCGGAATCTACGCCAAAAAATACATAAGAATCAGTCATAACCTCTTGGACACCAAATTTTTGACTAAACTCCCCTATTTAGGTCTCTATTGACTGGACTATTAACAATTTAAGGAGAATCAATAGAAGAACTACCTACGCCAAACAGAAGTGCTTTAAATTAAATTATTTCACGACGAATTTTAACGTACGTATATTAAGTGAGAAACTGAATGAACTGTAGTATATTAATTTGTAATTTAAAGGAGGGTTATGTAAGCTTATGCTTGGTAACTTAACAATTAATGGAAAGTCAATCTACGCAAAAGAGATGTATCTTAATTAATATCTGTAATTAAATTATTTCATGGCGAATTTTAATTTACACCACTTTCTATATCTTATAGTTATTTAGTTCATTTAAAATTTCGTGTTCTGGATGCATTAACGTTATAAGAATTTTTTACGTACCCAGTCAAGAAAGGCACAATTTTACTGAAGTTGCAGAGCTAGGGACGTAGGAAAACCTATTGAAAATTATCGGTTTTCTGTGTATAGTTACTCTGCTTGAAAGTTGGGGAAAAAACATACAATTCCCTTCCTTGCCAATAAGTACATATTTTATTTTTTTAGTTTAACTGTTGGTGCCCCAAAAACTTTCGGGCTTTTTTTCAGGTTTTCTGCGTCGATTGGCTGCACTTTAAAACTGGATCCATTTATAAGGTAGTAATCGACGGCTGAAGAACAATAATGTTTCCTATATTCGCTAAAATGTACCATTTGACAACTCTGTCGTTTGTAGCATCCAAAGTACTGGTGCTATCAAAACATTCTTGCAATCAAAGTTGTAAAGAATTTAATGGCGTGTTCAAAGAACGCCCAAAATTTGACCATACTTATATGCCAAATTTTAAAAACAGTTTTGGAATATCCTATTAATAATTCTGGATCATCTTGCATTTCCTCCATCAATTAGTTGCTGAGGTCCTCCTCTTCTTCCTCCAATAGATAAGGGGTGCTGGATGCTTCTTCCTCAACAGAAGCGTTGGAGCACGCTTGACCTTCCAATTCAAGATTGTCAAACAAGTCCTGCACTCCACCCTACAATTGTAAGAGATGGAGTGAAGCACCTTGCTGGGGCAGGTTTCACTGAAGTGGTTATTGGGATAATGTCAGTCGGCGGTCTTTTCCACTTCTCCAATCGAGGGCACACCACGCCTTACCTGGTGGTATGCACGAAGGGAGTGTTCTCTTGCCTGTTACTGAGGTACGAGGGAGAGATGAGGTAAACATCTCCTATCGCAGCTAATCAAGAATCGAGGCTGTGACCCTGCCAGCGTACACTCCAACCAAGAGCCTTTCCGCTGCACTGATCACCTCATCCTGGGATGCATCAGGGTTTTGAAAGTTCTGGACAGCATCCTGCAACAGCGGGTTACTCTCCAGGGCTTTACGTAGTCAGTTACGTCATCTTTCCTTGCCGAAAAATTGCCGATGCCGATTGCCGATCCACTGATGCCGTGGAAGAAGAGAAGTTGCTCCTTGATGGTGGTGGAGTGCTTCAGAAGCCATGGTGAGAACAAAGTGTTTTCCGGTTTAAGCAGAAGGCTGAACAGATCTGTATCTTATCCCACAATTGCCACAGTAGTGTACTAATTAACTCTTGCAATAGATTCCGTGACGATGGGCATCTTCAACAGTTGGGCGCACTGTAAAGCATTCTGATGTTCGCTTGGTTTTAACATGGATATTAGCCAGTCTTTATTCTTCTCGTTAAACAAGAACCTTTCTTTCGACATTATAGACTTCACGGTTTCTGTAAATAGGACAGTGGCTGCAGAAAACCTCTGTTAGCGACGAATGTCATAAATCCATAGTAGGTAAGTCACTGGGAGAAAGTTAGTCTTCAGTGAGTGGTTTCTGCTCATTGGTGTCATACGGACTGGAGCCCTGCAGTGTGGTCCCTTGGAAAGGTACCAATGGTATATAATAACTTGTTCGGTTTCCTTATGGTCGTCTCTGACTTTGCTGCAGTGCAGGGTTATACATCCACGGCATGGACGGTTTTATTGTCATCAAGGGAGTCAAATGCTCCTTGGAGTGGGTTTTAAAAATGCCTTGCCGCACGTCCGGTGGTAACGACCTGCTTCTGAACAGAGATCAGCAACAAGGTTGATTCTTTGGAGAACCTCGCCATAGCCTCTGCTCGTAGCTACCGCTATAAGGAAATCCTTACATTCCAATATCATAACATGGGCGGCTTTTTTTCTTCTTCTTATTTTCCCTGACCACAAATTCGACTGACGAATATAGCACACAATTTTTTTAAAACCAAGTCCATGATATTTACGCCCGGCAACACGACTTTGCTCTGCTCTAGCTGCCCCTCACTTCAGGTACGTACTCTGAATTTATTGTGAAAGATGACAAAGGAAAGGCCTTCAGCAGGAGGCGTTACTTGTCTTTGTTTTTTTTGCTCCTTTCAATGAGGTGGTACCTCATTCCTTTATTGTAGTTCACCCTTCTATAGACAAGGTCTTCCACAAATGAAACAATTGCCCTTCTTCATGTTGTGGATATCAAGTACCTACATGGCACAAAGTCAATATTCATCACATTCATACGCTTTCGAGCTCGAGGTATAGGAGGGGAAAGTGACCCTACTCTTCCCGTGGTGCTCAGGGCAGTGTCTACGGCCTGCGAGTCCAAGTTGCGGTTATGATACCAACGGGGAGGTTGCCATTTCAAACATTTATTGTAAGTTGATAGGTAACCCTTTGACTTTGCTCGTGTGTTATTTTCATTTATTGTATTTGTAAATCTACCCAACACGTTTTTAGTAAACAACATGTGAAAATATTTTTTTTAATTGAAAACAAAATGGCAGATTTGGTATCGAAAAACAACAAAACATACTTCATTGAATATAATGACGAAATTAAATACTACCTGCCTTAAAAAAATTAAAACTGGAATTTTGCAAAGGACATGAAAATTATTTCTACTTCACTGATTCACGATGTAGATATAAGGTTGAAAATGTTATCCTCCATGTCGGTACCCCAATGGTGCTGATGATATTTACTTACGGACTCGTTGACTTGCACTTGATTTGCTTCTTAGGTTATAGCTCATCGTATAAAACTTACCATGTGTTACTTTATAAATATATGTTACGTATTATGTGGTTAATACAGTTAACCAAGCGGTATTCAGATATCTAAAATTTAATTTGGGTATATTTATGAACGGGAAACGTGGTGCCAAAAAAAGCGACAAATTTAAATATCCCTTCAGAATCAAAATCGATACGTTACCTGAATTGTATCTTTAAATCAATAATAAGTACTGTCAAATGTAGGTGATGCATCGTCTGCTTTATTTTTGATGCAATGCCAGTACTTATCTTGAACCGGCCGGTATTTCCATTAATTACGCGCGATGTACATAACAAAGTCGCAACTAAGATCATAATATGCATCTACAATAGGTATTTTCACTGCATATGAGATTTCTATATGTACTCATGAAGGTATAAATGCGATCGCAACAAAGAATTTGAAGTATTGGACTTTATTTGATGTTTAGTACTACCCCACTACGCGTGTAAATGCCTCAGCGGGTTAAAATCGTTAAATAATCAGCTTATCACGAAACTGGTCATAGGTACTGGTTAAGGGCGCTAGCCGATAGCGCTATTTAAATCCTGAGCAGGACGAGGTCCTACCAAGACCAAAACAATATAAAAGTTTCGGTATCAAATGAAACATTAATAAATAGAAGCTGATGCGTGCCGACTAATAATTTGATAAGCTACTTTGCGTATGGTATATTTAATTCACCAAAAGGCTCCCGCCCTTCCCCATTTAACGTTGACCAAAAGACAGCATTTGTGACGTTTGGATGTCGTTCCAGCAGACGGAAGAACGTAGTGATTTGGAAGGCACAAATATCTCTATACTATAAACGTTGTAGGGCACAAAATGCACCATTTTATGTGTAATTAAAACTAAGTCATAAATTTCCTTAAAAAATATTTTTACGATCATTCACTGGCCATGCGGTAATTATAGACGTATAATGCATTCTATTTTTGTGTTTTAAAAATTTGCGACTAATCATCGCAATTGCAGTAGGTAAGATACGGACAAAAGTTTGCGTATTATACTAGAATAACACGATCATTCCATTTTGTCATTTAGTTACTGCTCTGACATTGACCGAAAATGTTTAAATAATTATTGTAAATTTGAATGTACTTGGGGGTACTTTTCTGACATAAGTAGGTTCAGATTCAAGCACCAGAGATTAAAAACCACATGATAGGATCAAAAATCATTTCTGATCAAGTGTATCAACTACAGTGCATAATTTTCCATTTTTGGGTTGTAGTTTAAATAATGAAAATAGGAGTAATCGGTGCAGGACCGGCGGGACTGGTATCGCTGAAGTACGCTTTGGATGAAGGGCACGAGTGTACCGTTTTCGAACAGACCGGAGTTCTTGGAGGTACATGGGTTTATACTGACAAAATTCGTAAGGATGAAAATGGCATACCGATCCACTCGTCGATGTACAAGGGAATGAGGTAATATTTAACTGCGTCATTTGGGTCAGTAAGATTTTTGTAGGACCAATCTGCCGAAAGAGGTAATGTATTTTATAGATTTTCCGTATCCAAAGGAGGAAATAAAATCGTATCTTAGTCAGACTCAAGTATTAGATTATTTTAATAACTACGCGAAGGTCTTTGATTTGCAAAAATGGATCAAGGTAATCCTGCGACCGTGAGTTGATATGAAAAAACTGTTCGTTTTCAGTATTACAAGTGCGTCACATGCGTGGAACCCTTAAACAATTCGAATTGGTCGTTAATAGTGAGCGATGTGAAAAGCGGGTCACAAGAGTTTTACCAATTTGACTCGGTCTTTGTATGCAATGGTCACTACAGCTCTCCGACGATTCCCAACATTCGTGGACAAAGTGTATACAGGGGTAAACAGCTTCATAGTCACGACTATCGTAAACCCGAGCCGTATTTAAATCAACGTGTGCTAGTGGTTGGTGGGGGATCATCTGGTACCGATATTGCTGCAAAGATAGCCGAGTTAGCTGACCATGTAAGCGTCCAAAGGCTTATAACCTTGTAAAAAGTTGTAATGCAGGTGTTTTTGAGTTGTCGACATAAGGAAAAGATCGTCTCGCGAAAAAATTTATCGACGAAGCCCGAGATTACAGAGCTTAGTGACTACGGTGCAACTTTTCAAGACGGTACCAAAGAAGATGTGGATGTTATTCTGTATTGTACCGGTAAGGAGATTCGGACGATTCAACTTATTTTAATCTCTGCCAAAGGTTATGCCTACACGTACCCATTCCTTTCCGAAGCTTGTGGTATATCCGTTAATGACAATTGGGTGTATCCGCTCTACAAGCACATCGTCAACATCAACCATCCAACAATGTTTTTTATAGGCATTCCTTTTTTAGTGCCCGTGATACCCGTTTGTGACATTCAAGTGAGTTAGCACCCTCTGATGCGAACAGTTACCTTTTGCTTGTGTAGGTCAGATTTTCTTTGGCTCAGTTAAGGAAAAAATTCTTACCGCCGCTTAAACGTATGCTGGAAGAACTCGAAGCTTACGTAAACGAGAGAGAATTGAAAAACATGCCCCTGCGATACTACCACAAAATTGGTAGCGAACATTTAGCAGAATATTTCTTGGAGTTGTCCGAAGCAGCCGGCATTCCATCGGTACCGTTTGTCATTAGTAAATTATATGCAAGAGCCCGAATGGATAGGAATTTAGAAGATTGTTTTCAAATCGTAGATGGAGAACATTTTATACAACTTTAACGTTAACCAGCATTGTTGAATAGAGCTCGGAATATAGTTAACACATCGTTCAATAAGCCCCCGGACTAACTAAGGAAACCGAATTTGTTTCGCAAAGTTCATTTTTATTCATCAACATAATCACCTTCAAGAGCTATACAACCATTCCAACGCTTATCTAATAATCGATACCATGCTTGTAATCGATTTCTCCTTGTCCTCAAAGTAACCTTCAGTTACAGCAATGACTTCCTAATTTTAGCCAGAATTTTTTCCCCTGGGCCATCTTTTTGAGACGAGAAAACAGCCAGTAGTCGCTAGGTGTTACATGTGGAGAGTATAGTGGGTGGGGAAGCAGATTGAAGCCCAACTCGTTCACTTTCACCACAGTAGCTTTGCTGTTTATGATCCAATTGACGTGAAAATGAGACACATGTCATTTAAAGATTGGTTCTTTCGAAAAACGAAGCAGATTTTACTAACGCGATCTGTGTGTCAGTCCCGGTACTTATTGAACGATGTATTATATTGACCTTAACCTACCTCACCTGCAAGTTAAAAAAATGAACTGTATGTTTCGTAGTAATATAATGGCCGACAAAGCGACTTGCAAACGTAATTAAATACAATATGCAAAAACGTTATTTTTCCTTTATAAATGCCAAAAGTATTATTTCCATATATAACCATAGCGTATGGAATATACCTAATCGTGAGACAACATCCAGTACATTTTGAAAACAGCAAATTTAAGAGTTATGGATGTCGTGTGTAAATATTACCAAAGATAAGTGTAGTATTATCTTTGATATTACCATTCTTAAAGATTGTCAGTAAAATACAGTTTTTTTTCGAATTGATTACAGTATTATTTACCATTAACTGCAAGCATTGATTAACATATAAGGAGGAAGCGTACGCTCACGATTTCACATTGCGGTTGTCTATCTTCCTCGTTATATGTTAATCAATGCTGCAAGGCAATGGCATAACCCATCACAAAAAGCTTGAAATAAAAATTAATTTCTTCTACATGGGTGCTAGCACGTTACGTCATTGAAAAGAGAAAAAAATCTCTATCAAATGAGCCTAATGAAAGTGTGCATTGCTGTTTAAAAAAATTCAATTGTTTTTCGTTATTCATTTGGTTCCTGAAATAAAAACAACGGAGCGCTGCCTTTATTATGGGAAATAAACTGTTAAACAACTTTCATATAGAAAAATTTTATATACAGTCGATATTTACCGAGATATACCTACACTATATTACAAACACAATGGTCACTCTGTATAGGTAACTCGACTAGAAGAAATTTCGACACTTAGGAATTATTGAATTCAAAATGAAAAATCGTTTATAATTTGAAAACTTCTATACCTAAGTGATGCACAAAATGTCAAAATGGAAAATTTTAACTTTTGGTAGGTATATTATGTTATGTAAGTTTTCTGTTTTCTTCATACCTTATGTTAATTCAATCACTATTGGTATTTAATACTCATTTTTATTTTCCCCATTCTTCTGATTTCATTTACTTCCTGAATGATATTTTTTATTTGCCTATGCAATTTTGCGTTCTATTCCTAATAAATTAGGTGGTGTATTAGCTTTATTCCTATCAATTTTAATTTGTATAATTATAAAAATAAGGTGTCTTTTAAAACTACAGAGAAAAGAATTTTCTTTTCATCCATTTTTTCTTTCATAAATAGGTTTTGTTCCTGATTGCAGTGTCTTACATTCATTAGTAATTCAAATTTACCTAATTCGTTTGGTATTCAATGATTTTTAGTGCATTTTTGCCAATTTATTTGTAAAAACGTAGATTTTAATCTTACTTTGGCCGGTTGGCTGGCTGGCTGGCTGGCAGCAAAGAAAAGCCCGTAGAAGAACCCTTGTAGAAAGACGAGAAATGCGCGTGTACCTACCGGGGCCGTGTAATTAACAACTTTAGGGACGGGGCTACATGATGTCGGGATAAGCGACATCTGGGCGCCATCCCTAAGCGTCGGTTTACTTACTAACATGGTGATTTTTCAGTTTTTTCCTATCTTCTACAGTTTTGGTCCGATTGTTTTGAAATTGGTGTCGTCGGAAAGATCTTGTAAACGCGCACAACTGACGGAATTTTGTTGTTTTTTTTCCTAGAGGCGAAATTAACCACCTTTGCAAGGCGCACTTCGAAAGGTACTCGACTTAAAGCTCAAATCGCGATCTCTCTTTCTTGTGTCTCGAGGTATGAGAAGTAACCAAAAAATTGAATACTATTTCGTGAAGGGTTTTTAGCGAAATCCACCAAAATGAGAATTGCGCGTGAACGGTACGTCGCGTCGGAAGTGGGTACCGACAAAGAGAAAGTGGTAGCCCCCGACAATATCTTACTGATGGTGGAGTCAAAACTTCAAATGCGAACTGCGAGTGGACAGTACGTCGGAAGTGAGTACCGACAAAGGGAACGTGGTGGCCTCCGACAAAATTTTACTGATGGTGGAGTCAAAAATGGCTAATATAATACTGATCTGCCACACAAAAATGCGCTGAAGTCTCACACATAATTTTTTCCATATTACTTGCTTCCCTGCTGTTTAACCTTTGTGACCGTATACGTGCTGTAATTTTTGTTTGACGCGTTCGAATTTTGTTATCGCATATGCGCTATAACTTTTACTTATCACGTTCGAATTGATGGATAATTGCCGTACGCATGTTTGCCGGTCAAGGGCGCTCACTTTAATCTATGCGTTTATTTACAATGTCAATTGAAATTATACTTAACGTTGTTTATATAATATTTATACACCAGGTGTCCGCGCGAGGGATTATATCTGATGTTTTAAAATGTTTCGATTTTGGAATATCGTGAAGGAAGTGAGGGGGAAACCATCCAAACGTGATATTCGCCACCCCAGCCATCCCCGATAAAAACATTTAATAACACCCTGTATTTTTTGGACATTCTGAAAGAGCGTAGTTTGTTGATATCTCTATGTAAAAATAAGACTTAGTTACTTAATGAACTTTGCAATATATCTACAGCTAAAAGTTCAGATACAATATTAGATGTTAAGAAAAATAACTGGTAACTTTGAACCGTAGACAAATATGTCGAAATAATTAAAGCAGATTGTAACAAAAAATACAACTTATCACAAACAAAAACACTAGATATAATTCCATTTAGTATATATAAATAGCGGATATGCGCAAAGGGCATTGTGAATTTTGAATCTATTCACGCGCAAATCCGGTAGTGCCTTTGTTGTCGGCACCCACTTCCGACGTTCCGTTCACCTGAAAATCGCGTTTTAAGTTTTGACTCCACCACCGAATTGATCTCTGGAGGAATTCCTATTTACCTGTATTGGTAACCTGTTCCGACTTCCGGTTCACACGCAAATCGCGTTTGAAGTCATTACCGGATAGATCTCGTCGAAGACTTCCTACTTTCCTTTGTCGGCACTCAGTTCTGACGCTCTGTTGACCTGCAAATTGCGTTTGGAATTTCATCGATTTATAAGTGACGAAGAAGTCAAAAAGGCATTGTGAATTTTGAACCTATCAAACACAAATTTTGGCATTGCCTATCGTATCGTGTCGGCTATGCATATTTTGAAATTCATGTAATTCGGTGACGGAGGTCAGTGTTAATTTTTTTGCCGATATGGCCTATTCACTAACTTTGATTTAAAAATTTGTAAAAAAATTCATCGGCAAAATTTCATTGTAATTAGTTCGTCCGATCTCTTTTAAATGGCTGGACGTGAAAAAATCGATCGAGCGAGTGAGCAAGCGATTGGAAGAAAGCATAACAGTCTCTTTTAAACAATTCTACGCTAAAAACATAGAAGTAGAAGTAAAAGTGATATAAAAGGTGTCTCAAATGCCCTGTTGATATTGTAACGTTATTTATAAATTCGGGTTCGATTTATATCAATATTTATTAACAAAACTAAAACACTATAAAAACTGTACAATTTGTATCGATTATTTATATCACACACTTCGCAATTTATATTTCCGCGCTCTATGTTTCATCTGTACTCGATCTCGTTCGGTAGTAGACTTCACCGATGTTCGGTCCGCAACCATTTATACACGCAAGCAGTGTAAGTCCAGAACCTTCGCGTAATTACCAGATACGTTGCAAACATTCCCACTTTCGCGCGCCTAGAAAATTCCAGAGCGCCAAAGGTGACGTCATGTCTGGAGCGTTTCCGTTACAATATTAACCTACATTATTATTTTTTAGAGAATAGGTACTCTATCTAGCGCCCATATGCCCTTGCGCCCTTTTATCCTCGCGCCCTTATGACCATGCGCCCTTATGTCTCGCGCCCTAACGGTCGCACGCTTTCGGTCGCTTTTCACTTATTTAATCAATTATCACCTCTACTCCATTAATCCGCTTCGTTGTTAAACGACGAAAATCGAATAGCCAAACTACGTCGCCAAATTGATTCCCATATGCGGACGCTTAAATAAATAAATAAATAAACAAATTTGTCCACACTTCTTTCTTACAGCGATTCCAAATTAAATCTTATGCGCTCATTACGCCCATTAAATACAATAACAACCCTTCAATTACTTACACAAATTCCAAATTTACGATACAAAAACTCAACATTACATAACTATTAACTAAAATCCTCAAATTCTGTGTCCATTTGACAAAGTTTCACTCGAGGTCCTAAACAAATAAATTAAAACATTGTACAGGATGTCCCACCTGAACCTATTGCTAAATCTAAATTACGTTTACAGCACGTAAATTTTCAACCACAGGATGACTGGCTCTTAATTTCAACCTACAGAAACGAACCTCCCTCCAGTTTACACAACAGTATCTAACATTTTATACAAATTTCTATCATCATTTGATAAAGCCAAATATTTTCCTGTACTGAAAGGAGAGTTTGAGCTCACGTTTTTGTTTTATAATTTTACTGTAAATAATCTTTTCGATTTTGGCAGGTCATTTTAACCCTAACAAAAGATAAAAACAAGATAAGGTATTCATCGTAAAACAAAACGGCTGTAACAGAAAAAATTCAACAGAGATAAAGACTTGAACAACTTTTTTGCCAATATTTAAGTATGATAAGCGCCCATCGCTAGTACGCACGTGTGACTAGATTTATTACTACAGCTGACACTTGAACCTTCCAAAATAAACTTCGTTGAGGTACTTTAATAAACTCAAATCAAAAAATATTTCTTTGTCGTAACATTTGTAACCACTTACCACAAGGACATTAAGAATTTACCGTGGAACTGTAAATAAGTATATAAGGTGAGCTTCCTATTCGAGCACGCTCTCTATATAGAGGGTGTTCAGTAATTATTGGTCCACGCAGATAAAAACTATTACATGGCAGCTGACACGCATTTAAAAACAGAGATTTTTATTTACCGAAATGCCCAAACACAAAATCTCTAACCGAAACAAATAATGAAATATACAGGGTGACCTGCACTATCATGACAAGGAATTTCGAATTTTTTAATGAAATTTGGCACGAAATAAAACCACTCGTTACAATATCCAACTTAACCTAATAATAAATTAATATTAACTAAATAATAGGAGTACCTACTACCTTATGGGTAGTAGATTTCAAAATTTTCGTCATCAATAATCCTGTAACATCTATCCAATAACCTTTGTTTTCGCGATTCTTCATAAATTCTACACAAAACCGGCGGTAAAGGTTTAATTGATGCGATTTGCGCCACTTTTGCCCAATATTGTTCTTGAAATTTCCCCATCCTGTGTATTTGCCATCTTGGAACGTTAAGCTTATCTTTCTCTTTTATTTCATCGTCCAAATCCTCCAGCATTAGACCTTTTGATGGCAATTTGAAATTCTGCTTCATGACCTCTATGCAGAATCGAACCTGAAGTATCGCATTAACTAAATGAAAATTCGATCCTAGAACTTACTTGTAAGTTGAACATCGGTAATGTACAAACTAGAAATGGAACACCTATGAAAAACATTGTGGGATGGTTGATGTTTACCATGTGAAGGTAAAGAGGATTAACATGTTTATCTTCAATGGTTATACCACAGTCTCTACTTAAAAATGGATAACTGTAATCATATCCTAAAACAATGGAAGAAGTGCAGTTTTCCGTTCTCATTCAGTACAATGCATGTTACCTGTACAATAGACAATATCATCGATTATTTCTTCCGTTCCATCCTCAAACACGACAGAATGAATGTTCGCGCAATTCTTTAATTACTGGCTTCGAACTAACCTTCTCTCCAAACGCCACGAAACATAAGCCCTCACTGTAGCTTACAAATACCTTAAGTAGGTAGTAAAGATCATCTTTGATATTTCACGGTTTTATACTTACGTGATTAGCAACTAACGAAATATAGTGCACTATATCTCTGGCAGAAGAACGCGAACCCACTACAAGCACTCTTCTGTCTTTGTACCCACTAGGTTCGTAGTATTTGAAGCTATGTATTTGAGTACCTTTGAATGTATATCGACCTGGAAATTGTGGCATATCTGGATACCACAAATGCCCATTGCATATGAAAACGTAGTCATAGACAACCGTTTCCACAACTTTTGTTGTTAAATTTTTTGTTGTCACGCTCCATGTGTCATTAACATTCGTTGAAATGTTCAAAACACACCTACGATACTAAACAAAGCACTCGCAATACTATAATTTGGGGATTTTACGTTAATATATGGATGCAAATTAAAAGTATCAGCGTATCCTTTGAAATAATTGAATGCTTCTACGGCACTTAAGTACGATCGCGTTTCTTTCAAGGGATAAGGATAATCTGGATACATCATGACCTCTTTCGGTATGTTTGTCCTGAATTCAAATTGAAATGTTTGTTACAGCTCCAGCGAAACTTACTTGACACCCTTGTAAAGAGTAGTGTAAATTATGTTCTCTTCTTCATTTTCACCATCCTTGTCGGTATACCAAGTGCCTCCGAGGAAACCTTTCTGTTCGTACACATCGCATTCGAAACCGTTAGCAATGCAATATTTTATGACAACTAAACCCGCAGGTCCAGCACCTACCACGGCAACTTTCTTCATTCTCACTAATTGTGTCCGAATTTTGCTTGTTTTGTGCTCTTATCAGTAAGGTTGCGATTTTGTAATCATTGCCGATTACCGCATTGTCCGTATCAGTGTTTTGCGTAAGTACTTTGGGATCTGCGACATTTCTAAGCTTCCAAATTTTCAGTAGATGGGCATAGGTTTGTGGGCGACATACTCTTTCTCTGACTGAATTTTATCCGAAGTAAATAAATGTCACGGTTGAACTTTAGCCCATGCATCGATTATTTGCTTTAGGTTGAGACACAGCTTGGCTACGCGCCATTTTGCAGCGCGGCATCGTGTCGCGTAGCCAAGCTGTGTCTCAACCTAAAGCAAATAATCGATGCATGGGCTAAAGTTCAACCGTGACATTTATTTACTTCGGATAAAATTCAGTCAGAGAAAGAGTATGTCGCCCACAAACCTATGCCCATCTACTGAAAATTTGGAAGCTTAGAAATGTCGCAGATCCCAAAGTACTTACGCAAAACACTGATACGGACAATGCGGTAATCGGCAATGATTACAAAATCGCAACCTTACTGATAAGAGCACAAAACAAGCAAAATTCGGACACAATTAGTGAGAATGAAGAAAGTTGCCGTGGTAGGTGCTGGACCTGCGGGTTTAGTTGTCATAAAATATTGCATTGCTAACGGTTTCGAATGCGATGTGTACGAACAGAAAGGTTTCCTCGGAGGCACTTGGTATACCGACAAGGATGGTGAAAATGAAGAAGAGAACATAATTTACACTACTCTTTACAAGGGTGTCAAGTAAGTTTCGCTGGAGCTGTAACAAACATTTCAATTTGAATTCAGGACAAACATACCGAAAGAGGTCATGATGTATCCAGATTATCCTTATCCCTTGAAAGAAACGCGATCGTACTTAAGTGCCGTAGAAGCATTCAATTATTTCAAAGGATACGCTGATACTTTTAATTTGCATCCATATATTAACGTAAAATCCCCAAATTATAGTATTGCGAGTGCTTTGTTTAGTATCGTAGGTGTGTTTTGAACATTTCAACGAATGTTAATGACACATGGAGCGTGACAACAAAAAATTTAACAACAAAAGTTGTGGAAACGGTTGTCTATGACTACGTTTTCATATGCAATGGGCATTTGTGGTATCCAGATATGCCACAATTTCCAGGTCGATATACATTCAAAGGTACTCAAATACATAGCTTCAAATACTACGAACCTAGTGGGTACAAAGACAGAAGAGTGCTTGTAGTGGGTTCGCGTTCTTCTGCCAGAGATATAGTGCACTATATTTCGTTAGTTGCTAATCACGTAAGTATAAAACCGTGAAATATCAAAGATGATCTTTACTACCTACTTAAGGTATTTGTAAGCTACAGTGAGGGCTTATGTTTCGTGGCGTTTGGAGAGAAGGTTAGTTCGAAGCCAGTAATTAAAGAATTGCGCGAACATTCATTCTGTCGTGTTTGAGGATGGAACGGAAGAAATAATCGATGATATTGTCTATTGTACAGGTAACATGCATTGTACTGAATGAGAACGGAAAACTGCACTTCTTCCATTGTTTTAGGATATGATTACAGTTATCCATTTTTAAGTAGAGACTGTGGTATAACCATTGAAGATAAACATGTTAATCCTCTTTACCTTCACATGGTAAACATCAACCATCCCACAATGTTTTTCATAGGTGTTCCATTTCTAGTTTGTACATTACCGATGTTCAACTTACAAGTAAGTTCTAGGATCGAATTTTCATTTAGTTAATGCGATACTTCAGGTTCGATTCTGCATAGAGGTCATGAAGCAGAATTTCAAATTGCCATCAAAAGGTCTAATGCTGGAGGATTTGGACGATGAAATAAAAGAGAAAGATAAGCTTAACGTTCCAAGATGGCAAATACACAGGATGGGGAAATTTCAAGAACAATATTGGGCAAAAGTGGCGCAAATCGCATCAATTAAACCTTTACCGCCGGTTTTGTGTAGAATTTATGAAGAATCGCGAAAACAAAGGTTATTGGATAGATGTTACAGGATTATTGATGACGAAAATTTTGAAATCTACTACCCATAAGGTAGTAGGTACTCCTATTATTTAGTTAATATTAATTTATTATTAGGTTAAGTTGGATATTGTAACGAGTGGTTTTATTTCGTGCCAAATTTCATTAAAAAATTCGAAATTCCTTGTCATGATAGTGCAGGTCACCCTGTATATTTCATTATTTGTTTCGGTTAGAGATTTTGTGTTTGGGCATTTCGGTTCGCTCAAGACTATGGTCCGATAGATTTAATTTCGCTCAGATTTAATTTCGTCGTGGGAAGAGTGCAAAGTTGATTGACGTCATCATGAGTAATGCGAGTTTTTTGTCGTTCGTTTATCAACTTTGGCGCCGTCTAGACCGAGAATAGGAGCGGATATAGCACCGAGCCATCAAGAGATGAGGGGTTTTCACGTCGTCAGCAGAAAACCGTGAGATCAGTTTATTCAGCAGTTCCTGGAGGTTGACGACGAAGTTAGAGTGGGTTAAGTCTTCTTTATCTAAACCAATGGGAGAATTTCTAGCGGGAGCCATTTTTGTTTTATGGTAATTTGGGTGTGGTTTTCTCATTTCAATTCTGAAGAAGGGGATCGTTTTTGGAGAGACTCGCGGTTAGTACGTCGAGGGGTCAACACGTACTTTGAGTGATCGTTTTTGAAGAGACTCGCGGTTAGTACGTCAAGCGGTCAACACGTACCTTGAGCGATCGCTTTGGTACACTTAGCGGTTTGAGCCACCGGTTTATTTCGGTTGCTCGCAGTTGCATGCTTTTTGCACCCGTTTCGAAGTGTTATTTTCTTTTCGCGTTGATTTTTGGGCGACGAAGACCCAGGTTCCGATCAGGTGATATTTTGGCGAACCCTTGAGCTTCACCCCAGTTTACTTTGGATGCAGTGAATCGCGTTAGGATACGTTGTGATTTCTCGAGGATATATAATTCAAAGTGCTGCCCTATTCCTCAAGGCGCAGAATTTCGGGATCCGCCCCAGGTGGAATTTCCTACTAGTGCCGTACGGTCATTTGTCGAAGGAGCGCTGCGTTTTGGAGAGACATTTGTCCCAAGAAGAGCTGGTGAAATAATACGTCGAACCACCCAAGAACAAATCGCGGTTTACCGTCGGATAGTAATCATAAAAATTTGTGTTCTGCCGTGCCGCTAACTCAAAAATCTGTCTCCCGCAGGCGATCAAAGTTAATAAACTCTAAGAGCCGGTGGAAGGAAATAGTAGGGGTCACTGTTTAAATTAAATACACCTGCTGTGTAGAAACTTTGGCAAGTAGCCGTCTCCCACTCGCCACGCGAAGGATTTCCTGGACTAAGCTTCAGTTCAAACACTAAACTTTGCTTTCGTTCCGAGGAAGGATAGGCACCGTGGATTTTGTTTCCGTGTGTTAATTTCAAGCCACCCCCTAGGAAGTCACAGAGACCTAAGTGTCAGGTTTTATCACATCCACCCTGTACCAGAGGAAAGAGCAGTTCACAAGATCGGCTGTACAAATGTTGTAAAGGTTAGTCTAATTAAATTTGTAGCGTTCTGTAAAGTCCCACTTTTTGGTAATTAAGCTATAGTAAAAAAAAAAAATTTTGATTTGATTGTTTATTAAAGTCCAATGAACGATTACCAAAGAGTAGGATAAATTTTTGTGTTTATTTAAATAAGTCCCAGTCCACGCTGGAGTAAAAACCGATGACCTGTTGTTGCAATTTTCAAACTGTAGAGGATGGCCACCCCTTGAGTAAATTAGTCTCACCTGGTAGGATTTTTTATTTAGTTTAGTTGTCATTGTTAAGCTAGTGTTTTTACAAGGAGGAGAGAAGAACTGCTAGATCCCTGTAATTTGTTTGTATCTCCAATATCATTTCAATATATTATCTATTTGGTTTCAATGTGCCTATGTCTTTAACGAAGAACGAGGGGAAGGAAAGGGAGGAGTAGGAGTTGAGGCAGGAGACTGGTAGGCGGCAGGTTAAGGTTTGTTACGCAGTTTCAAAAGAGTGAAAAGCCCACCGATTTGAGTTAGCCGGAGCATTTATTTTCATTGATTGAGCAGCCTGAGAAGAAGACGGTTTTCCTTGCCGGGCGGAACCGATGGTAATTTTCAAGTCCAGAAGGAACCCCCGTAGCAATATAGAAATTAGAAACCTTGTACCTGCAAACACGAAAACAGAGATTATTGAATAAATTTTACAGAATTATTGATGATGAATCTACTACCCAGATAGGTATATACAGAGTGGCCCCACGAGACGTATACAGAGGGCTTTTAGGGTATTAAATTTAGAAATTTCGAAAAATCATCTCGAACACGTCAATTTTGTATTCGAGGGGGACAACTTTTGGAATACAAATCACGAACCCAAGTTTTCACCCCTCTACGTAGGGAGCTTAACCCCTAAAATTTTAAATGGAATCCTATGGAAAATGGCACATTATTTGAAAGCCAATTTAATCGTGATTACTAATCTGCTTTGCTTTTTAAATTCTATTGATTCGTTTCGGAGATATTCGCATTTGAAATGGTTTTTTCTAAAAAAAAAATGCGATCTAAGTCACCTTGTATTAAAATTTTTAAATTTTAATACAAGGTTTAAATTGTGCAAAAAATCACAAATAACTTTAAACACACAACATTTATTTCAATAAATGCGCGAATTGCCTTCCGCCTGCTTCCATGCAATAATAAAGATTTGCTTCAAAACGCTACCGTACATGTTGCAAGATTTCAGGGGTAATCGCTCGAAATTGTTGAGTTATACCATAGTGTATTCTATTCTTACACTATGGTTATACGTGCGCGCAACCCTTGTAATGTTTCGGACGGAGTAGCATAAACTTTATTCTTTAAATATCCCCACAAGAAGTAATCTAAAGGACTTAAATCGGGGGGAAAAAACCACTGTACGTAGAGGGGTGAAGACTTGGGTTCGTGATTTGCGTTCCAAAAGTTGTCCCCCTCGAATACAAAATTGACGTGTTCGAGGATTTTTCGAAATTTCTAAATTTAATACCCTAAAAGCCCTCTGTATACTTCTCGTTGGGCACTCTGTATAATAACTTACTCAGTTAGTAGTATGTCATGCACGGAGTTAAGTGGTAGAGCAGGCTGCGGTATTTTGCTGTAGAACCATTCAATAAGTAATACTTATTCAATGGTAGAACTGAATTTCGCCCCATTGTACTTGATTCATATATAATAAACGCATTATGATTACTATGGTGAGTCTTTCTTGGAGCGCAAGTCTAGCCTGGTTAACTACTCGCGTCGATTAGAACCAAATAACGATTAGTATCTGTCTGTATGTCGTTCGTCTTGTCAAGTTCTGACCTAGTACTATCTCTCTTTACTTATAAACTTATCACATTCAAATAACCATGTGTGCGTTGCCGTAGAATCAGCACAATCCTGATCACCTTCTTGTATGTATCTTCTATGTAAAGGCTTTTAATTCTATGTTTGTATGTTATTTGTGATGTATTTAAGTTCGGAGGTGGATGGGATTATATTATTTTCGTATAGGGTAAGAGGCGTGTAAGATTTTGAATTTGACCGCTGCTTTCGGTTGTTTCACTTTTTTTAATTGTAAGCTGTTCGGAAAACTCGCGTGCAATTTACGTTTACAAAAATTCCTTAAAGAAAAGTTTTGCTTCCAGACCAATTTTTCTTGTCACTCTCTGGAAGCTTGAGCCCGAATTTTTTCTGACCTGGACTCTACAAGTCCAAAGACGCAATCTTCTCAAAAACGTTTCCCAGATCACTCCCTACCTATCTGTTTTGAATTAATTAGCGTCTAGTAAGTAAGTGAACCATTTTTGAGCAACAAATTAGAATCGCTCAGTTTATCGTAATCCCACCTCACACCGATAGGTACTGAACTTTGTACCATCATCCTGCTCAAAAACTGTCGGTCATCAATTCCCTGATCCATCATGTTGTAACCGCTTCCAATAAGGATAGCTTTCGAAACGAATTGCAGCACGTCACCAACACAGTTTTTACAGGAGCGAAATCGGTTTCCTAAACCCAAAACCTCGCAACATCGAGAAGAAGGAGTAGTAGTGCGTGTTGCTCTCGTTGACTCATTGGTATGGGTTATACAGGGTGAGCTTTTTTTCACTTTCACTATATGGATATCGTAAACTGTAAGAAATACAAAGTCACATAATGGGTAAAGTTATGCAGAAGCAGAATGTTATGCTGATTAATTAAATTACTATGCGAGACCACGCCTCAGGATGCCCAGACAAGGAACAGGTCACGCAGGGAGACGACAAACCCAAGTGGGAGTAAGGTTTCCACAAGACAAGGTTAATACCTATACAATTTATAAATTATATTGTGTAAGGAGGTAGGGATACTGCATGGCAGGTACCCGGAGGTGAATCTCACCACAGAAGAGCCTAAAGCACTCCAGGAAGGGATCCCTGAAGCCATCAGAAACCTGGAAGGAGGAACGGTGTGTCTTCGATTCCTGGATTCTACGTTCAAATCGGGCTGGTTGCTGGTCAACGGCGCTGATAAGACCACCACAGAATGGCTCAAAGGAGTGGTGCCAAGCATCAGGCTGTGGGAAGATGCGATGAGAAAGATATTCCAAAGGTGTCGGCACCAGTCGCCCAACAAATAAGAGCAACAACAAGGTCACACGGAACAGTCAATGATTTACGATACCTAATTCCGTGATTGTCTTCGACATTCAACTGTAGGCTCGAAACCCCGAAACTAGGAGCGAGTTATCTATCTTGCGGAGGCGAGATTATGCTAATGAGTTACAACACCTAATTCCGTGATTGTCTCGGACATTCAACTGTAGGCTCGAAACCCCGAAACTAGGGGCAAGTCATCTATCTTGCGGAGGCGAGATTATGCTAATCAAAACTCTTCGGTTTAGAATCTATGTGCCATAAATGAATTGCGATTCCCTAATTTCCACATATCTTGTCGTTAGTTGAATTTGTAATTTTCCATCTTGCTCCTAGCACAAGGACTTTATTGCACCAAAGATGAGTCACATCCTGTACCCTTCACCCTTTCTCAGAATTTAGGTATCTGCTTACCTGACCCATTGTTCGCAACATTTGTTTTTAACGTTGGGTTAAACAACTTGGTGTATTCACTATCTTTGTTAACCACTGCTTAAACTTGATAATTCAACAAACATTTTTGTCAACTAATTTTTGGACTGTGTTAATCAAACTGCAAGGTTTTCCTCCGTCGTACTCTTTTTACCCTTGGCAGTTACTTCTGGGAGAGTACCGCACCTTTTGGCTTTGCTTGATTTGCTTACATTATTGTAAAGGGTTTTCCAGTATGAGGTGTTATTTTGATATTCAAAGGAAAATGCCATTTTTTAAGATAAATGATCGGATATTTATTACATTATAAAGAGGAAGGTATGCCGTTAATAATGGAAAATAACCTCAGCTAAATGACCACCATGACCACGCCTACAGGACCATATCTTTTTCATGAAATTTTCCATAACCAAATCGCAAAGTGGCTGCCCTATGTCCTCGATAGCCTCAATTCCATTTTTGAGGTCTTGAATCGATGCTTGGCTGTTGGCGTAGACCTTGTCTTTCACGTGGCCCCAAAGGAAGGAGTCGCAAGGTGTCATATCACAAGATCTCAGTGGCCAATTCTGATCACCTCTTCGAGAGATGACACGGCCCGGAAACTTTTCCCGTAAAAGATCAATGGTTTCGTTGTTTTTTGTGTTGAGGCGTGTATCGTTCGATTTTTATTAATGGCGTAGTTTCTACTTGTCTAATGTCAAAAAACGACAGCTTCAAAACTGACATCTACCGAAATAGCGGGCTATTCAAAATAACACCTCTTATTGGAAAACCCGTTACATCAACTAAATTCCGGGCTTTCGCAATCTTAATAATAACGATCATTATTAAACAAACTTTCCACAATTTCAGTGTTTTATTTTATGTTCCTTCCCTACTGTGCTTCAGGTCATGGCGTTGTTTACAACTAACGTGAGGGGGCTTTGCTTTAAATGTTTGATCACGTGCCACTTTTCAAATTTAAGCGGGATTTTGTTTAATTTTGGAGGGAATAGTTGTTCGGGGCGGAGGGGGGCATTTTTAAACGTTGCCAGGTTGAATTAATTTCCGTGTTCTCGTAGTGTGAAGTAGAAAGCGTAGAACTGAATCCGATCAAAACGGTGGTGGTGAATTTTGCCAGGGGGAGGAAGTTCAACATAAGAGCACCCACTATGGGGGAGGTGGAGGTGCACCACCATAGATCTTAGTAAAGAAGTCAAATATCTGGGAGTGAACGTTTCCCAGAGATTAACGTGGAACTCCCATATTGGATGGGTAATGAAAAGGGCGACCCTGACATCCCAGTCATGTAAAAGGCTACTGGACAGGATCATAAACCTAGAAATGGGTAAGAAGGCGGTAAAAATAGATATCCTCACAGACAGTCAGGCTGCACTGAAGCCGTACCTGCGACTCCAAACAGTTTGCAAACACATCACACTATAGTGCATGCCAGAGTATTCCGACATTACAGGCAACATGCAGGCAGATGAACTGGACATACAAGGAGCCAATAAGGCCTGATCCCATTTGTGAACTGCACAAAAGTCACATAAAAGAAACCATCAACCAGTGGGAAGAGCGACAGCGACAGGCCAAATTACTCATTAAGGCCATGTTACAAAAAGCTGATAAACCTTCAGCCCTGGCCAGGAAGGACCTACAATCCATTACAGGGCTCTTCACAAGCCATATACCGCTTCGTACTTCTAAATAAGACGACGGAGGTATTGGCATCTTCATGAGGCCATACGAAGACCTGGTGAAGTGGCGTAGGAAGTAATACACGCGCTCTGCTAATTGTTATATTCTATTCCAGCACTTTAAATTAAAAGTAAGTAAAATAAATGACGAACGAAAGGGCTCTGCTCCAGTATACTCTAATGTTTATAGTTTGAAAAACACAATCTTTAATCTCACCTGGAGGTTTAATTCCAAGGTAAAGTAATCCATGCCTGCGCCAAAGTTCGACTGCGATTACTATTCAGTTTAGAATGGAAATATCAGTCAGAGCAAAGTTTTGTCGTCAATATGTGCTCTCTAATGAAAATCTGAAAGTTTAGTTGCATCAGAATAAAAGACTATGGAGTGTCAAAGGTCACAAAGTACTTGCGCAACGCACTGATATTTCCATTTAAACATGATAAGCAGAATATGTTAATGGTTAGAAGAATTACTGATAAAGGTACAACTTTTCTTTAAAAGTAAAATGTTTGCTAGAGAGACGCGCCCAAACTTCGTGTAAGAATGAAGAAAGTTGCAGTAGTAGGCGCCGGTCCTTCTGGTTTAGTTGTCCTAAAGTATTGCATTGCTAACGGTTTCGAATGTGATGTGTACGAACAACGAGGCTTTCTCGGAGGTACTTGGTACAGCGACAAGAGTGGTGAAGATGAAGAAGACAACCTAATTTACACCACCCTTTACAAGGGTGTCATGTAAGTTTCGGTGGAGTTGTAACAAGCATATTTTCAATTTGAATTTAGGACAAACATACCGAAAGAGATTATGATGTACCCAGATTACCCTTATCCCTCCGAAGAAACACGATCGTATCTTGGTGCCGTAGAGGTGTTCGATTATTTCAAAGGATACGCCGACACCTTTAATTTGCATCCACATATTAAGGTAAAAGAACCTCATGATAGTGTTGCGAGTGCTTTGTTTAGTATCGTAGGTGTGTTTTGAACATAGCAACGAATGTTAATGACACATGGAGTGTGACAGTAAAAAATTTAACAACAAAGATTGTGGATACGGTTGTCTATGACTACGTTTTCGTATGCAGTGGCCATTTGTGGCATCCAATTGTGCCACAATTTCCAGGTCGGTATACATTCAAAGGTACTCAAGTACATAGCTTCAAGTACTACGAACCCAGTGCTTACAAAAACAGAAGAGTGCTTGTAGTGGGTGCGCGTTCTTCGGCCAGAGATATAGTGCACTATATTTCGTTAGTTGCCGATCACGTAAGTATGCAACCTATAAAGGTCATTTTTACATATTTACCACTTAAGGTATTTGTAAGTTACGAAGGTTTATGTTTGGTGACGTTTGGAGAGAAAGTTAGTTCAATGCCACTAGTTGAAGAATTTCGTGAACATTCTGTTGTGTTTGAGGATGGAACGGAAGAAGTAGTCGATGATATAGTCTATTGTACAGGTAACATGCGTTGTACTGAATAAGAACGGAAAACTGCAATACTTCCATTGTTTTAGGATATGATTACAGTTATCCATTTTTAAGTAGAGACTGTGGTATAACCATTGAAGATAAACACGTTAATCCTCTTTACCTGCACATGGTAAACATCGACCATCCCACAATGTTTTTCATAGGTATCCCATTTATAGTTTGTGCAATACCAATGTTTGACCTACAAGTAAGTTCTAGCATCGAGATATCAATTAATTAATGCGTTGCTTCAGGTTCGATTCTGTATAGAGGCGATGAAGCAGAGTTTCAAATTGCCATCAAAGAGACTAATGTTGGAGGACCTGCACGACGAAATAAGAGAGAAAGAAAAGCTTAACGTTCCAAGACGGCACATACACAGGATGGGAGAATTTCAAGAGCAATATTGGGCAAAAGTTGCGCAAATTGCGTCAATTAAACCTCTACCTCCGGTTTTGTGTAGAATTTATGAAGAATCGCGAAAACAAAGGTTATTGGATAAATGTTACAGAATTATTGATGACGAAAATTTTGAAATCTACTACCCATAAGCTAGTAGTAGTCCTATTATTTCATTACTATTAATTTATTATTAATGTTACATATGGAAATTAGAAAGCTCGTACCTGTATACAAAGCGGAACTCTACATAAACAATTACGGAAATGGAACTTTTGTGAATCAGACCTTGAAACACAAACTCCAGGATATTTTGCACAAAGCTGCAGTGTAACTTATTAAGACCACATCCGATCTTTGGAATCGGTAACACCAACAGTTTGTAGCACATTCCAAAAATTCAAGTAACTTATCTTATCCCAAGATCGATCTTTTGTTACCTGATAATAAAGTAATCGTCCCTTCTCCTGCTTTATTATTATTGATGAAATAAAGATGGTTGATGATTTTAATAAGGAAGAAACGTGGCTTTAGGTTTCTCGAAATGTAGTAGTTGACATTTTGTGTACTCACTGGAATAATTTACCAATGTTTCGTAGTATGGAAATTTTTCCCCTTGTATGCTTAGAATTTTAACAGCCAGGAAAAGCACTCATTAATCGTCTTTAAACTTTTTATCGGTTTTTAAAAAAATGGCAATCAAATTAAACAATGTAATTAAGGAATCATATTTAAAATTTAATTAAAAGAAAAATAGATAAATTTACAAATGATTGGGATTAAACCACACCGGCGGGCGAAAGTAGTGGCAGTCGGTGGCAAACTGGACGTGGTCGGTGGAACAGACGGACGAACCGACTCGAACGCCACCAGAAGAGGTTTGCCACAATCGGCAGCCACAGGCAGTCAGTTCAAGGAACAGCTTAGTCCAGAATTCGGGGAACGGTTACGTTCTGAGAAGCAACTAAACAAAATCACGGCACACATGCAGGGTAGTGATTGCCCTGACGGAAACGCAAGCAACAAAGCAATAATTAATTAGCCCTAGCTACGGGAAATCAAATACGGGAAAAGCAAGGCAGTACCCCCCTTATAATTAACGAAATGTAAAGTATAAAACGCTTACCTCTAAATTTATCGGTACGGTGACAGATAAAAAATACGCGAGCCCTTGCCTTATAGAAACTTTCCAAAAGATGTGGAAAGGAACTCGGATTACCCAAATGTATTCAATTGTTTACATCAAAAAATTGAAACTTCTTTATTTAATTGTGCGACCTGCGATAAACATAAAATCTATAATTCGTCTTAAAATTTAGCTCAATTAAGCGCGCTTCTAATGTCATAAGACTCAATCCAATCAGGCGAGGTTACTGCAACTCAATTAATTAACTGCGGTTAATTATGCTCATTTACATGACCAGACTGAAATTTCCAAATTCGGTAGGCCAGTAATGCCAATTGATACCTGAAATTTCGGCTCAATCGCAACAGGTCTGCGATTATGAACTAAACTGCATCTTTTATTCTCGTTTTAAATTAACACAGGGAAACTGAAGTCGACCAATACCTAATTAATGGAACTGAAACCATCGGATTACTTACGGTCCTAGGAGTCCAAACAGTGGTTTTAAAAAATGTCTGTATGTACGTAGTGTGTATCTGCGTGCGGCATGATTCTTGTAAACAAGGTTCAGCCGAAACTACCCTACCATTGTGGTTGAAATTTGAAGCAGATATTCCTTTAAATGGTATCGAAAGTTGAAAAGCTTTTGGAAGCGATTCGAAAACTGCAAATGCCTTTTTGGCAATAAAATCGATATTTATTGAATTACGTATAATTTTGTAAGGAGCAGACCGATTTGGCTGGTTGGTTTGTACCAGTGGTCTCTCTAATAAATTTTGGAAACGATTGAAAAATAGAAAATGCACTTTTGACTATAAAAATTATATTTATTAAATAAAGAATTTTGATTGAGCCGTGTAAATTTTAGGTCACATCTAATATTAATTAATTTGACAGATCGCGTTAAGAAGTTATCAGTGAATTGATTGTGTGATTAAATACAGTTGTGTATAAAATAATAACAGCTGCCTCACTGGCTGCCATTTTTCCCCCTTGTTTCTCCGTGCTGAGGGCTGTTAGATGCTATCAAAACAATTTCGGAAATAATTAGAAAATGATAATTTATATAATGCAGCAACTGGTTTCCTCATCGGCTCTAGAAATGAAAGCAGCTACTTCTGCCCTCTGTTTTCAACTCCTAAAAGAAATAAAGAGTTCCGGAACACAACTTTTCGTAACGAAGCGCCTCTAGATACCGGATGTTCATTAAAGCTGGTAGACTCCGAAATGTACGGTGTGTTCATTAATGCTGGTAGGAAAACCTAGTGCTTCGTTACAGGTTATACAAATTTTTGTTTAAACTTTCAGTTGAAAATAAATGTTACGCGATCTAAACGCCGCGCTCAAGTTACATAGATTCGCTTTGAAGGTTCAGCGAAGAATCTCCCTCTCCCACCAAATTTTTTCCTTATACAGTCGCCAAGCCCATGGTCAGTAAGAACGGTCTTCAGATCCCGCAACACTGTGACGTTTGAGTCTTATCTACTGGCACACTCGCTTTTTATCTTAAAGCGCTCCATTCTACTGCATTTTAGTTCCGTTATTTTCTACTGTATATGGTAAAAAGGGATTATTGATTATATATATATATATATATATATATATATATATATATATATTTTCTATTATGAAGCGGTACACATAAAATTTCCTATACTGGAAAATTTGTAAAGCAAATCTTTGTAAGCCTAAAGCGACCATAGCGGCACATACCGTGCACTTCACCGGCTAGAAAATGGCACAAATAGTCACGAATATTCCAACAGTTTCGAATATTTGAATATTCGAATAGTTGGATTATTCGAGTATTCCCAATATTCGAATTTAAATACATTCATATTTCGATTATTCCACTATTCGAATCTAGTGTGCTAAGTATATAACTCTGCAATTTTACTAAACACTTACTGCTCATTGCTGACGATATCTTAACATTCATATTAAGTGTACTTTGAGTCCCATCTTATCACGACCCTTTGTATTAAAAATAGTTAAATGGTTCGATGTAAAAAGTGCTACAAATCGATAGTGTTTGGATAAGTGCTGGTAATGTCTCAAATAACTTACAACTGAAACAATGCGAATTGCCGTTGTTGGGGCGGGGCCATCAGGTTTAGTTGCAGCCAAGTATGCAATAGAAAACGGCTACGTATGTGACATATTTGAGCAAACTGGTTCTTTGGGTGGTAATTGGGTGTACAATGAGAATACTAATGATGTGCATGTCCAATCCAGTGTTTACAAAGATTTGGTGTAAGTCTACTTATTAGATGAGCAAGTATATCGCTCGTATTTTCAGCACTAATATCCCCAAGGAGTTAATGACCTACTCAGATTATCATTACCCAACAACCGTCAAAGAATCATACATTACCCACGATCAAGTTTTGGCGTATCACCATGGTTACGCTGAAAAGTTTGGCTTAAACAAGCACATTCAGGTAGCTATCTCAGTCGTTTTCGGAAGTGAGCAAAAATATCACTTCAGTACTACACACGTGTCGAGCGAATAACATCAATCGAATGTGACAAATGGTTACTGGTAGTTCAGAATCTGGAAACAGAAACCGAAACGACTGGACAGTATGACTGCGTCTTTGTTTGCAATGGTCGCTTTAAAGACGGGTTCATTCCGACAATTCCTGGACAAAGTTTGTTTAAAGGTCGACAAATGCACAGTCACACTTTCAGAGTGATCGATCCATACAAAGAGCAAAGTGTTTTAATAGTGGGCGGTCAGCATTCCGGTCAAGATATTTGCGGACTGATTTGCAGGATTGCCAAACATGTACGTATAGAGGCAACGAATGAGATCGAGTGTCGTAATTCAAATTTCAGGTTTATGTAAGTTCTCGTGAAGTCTTGCAAGGTGTTTTCCCCCCTAACGTATCGCAGAAAACTGAAGTGACTAAGTTCACGGAGGACGGTGTAGTTTTTGGCGATGGATCAGTCGAGCATATCGACAGTGTAATATATTGCACAGGTAGGGCAATTACTAACAACGCACGTATTTACAAAAAACTCCGTATCTAGGGTACTTCTATACCTGCTCCTTTTTAACGGAGAGTTGCGGCGTTAGAGTCGAAAACAATGGGGTGGCTCCTTTATACAAGCAAATTGTGAATATTGAGCACCCAACAATGTTTTTCATTGGTCTTCCGTATTTGGGCGCATCCAATATTACCTTTGATCTACAAGTAAGTGCGTACATACTGAAATTAATGATATAGTGATAGCACAGGTTCGCTTTGCAATGGCCGCATTTCAAGAAAAATTCAAGCTACCCTCGAAAAGCGAAATGTTGGAGGAATGGGACGTATTCCTACAAAACAAAAGTAAAGATAACGTTCCTAGGAAACACACTCATCGATTAGGTGACGGTAAATCATCAACAAGCTACAGTGAGGATCTAGCAAGTACTGCCAAAATAACTAGGATCCCGAATGTGATCTCCAAGCTATATGAAAGGGTGGTCTTACGCAACAGAGCACGTTACTATTATCGAATTATCGACGATGAGACGTTTGAGGAAATCATTCCGTAATGTTTCTTCTACCACACATCCTTTATTTCCAAGATACAGGGTTAAATTTCATTATTCGCGGGGTACCACACAATTGCTCCCTGAACACCCTGTAGAATCAATATACCTTTAATATGTCAGTTTAACTATACGAGTACTCTTTTTTTATGATAGGTATTATAGTGGCCAAGATTTGACATTGAGTCACTCGCGGGAGGGAGAGACGCGTGAGGGCGTTTACGCAACGCGTGCTTGGTATATTTTTATGTGACGTATAATTAGGTAAATTCAGTGGAAAAGCGCCAAATATTGTTCCAAGAATGTTTTACATACACATGAGCAATAGGTCTACGTTTAGAAACAGCATTTCAACGCCATTCGACCAGTTTGGACGAATTATTCGACCTACTTATGTTCGTATTTGGAGACTCAGGCATTTTCATGAAAAGCTTTTGTTGTTCGCTATCAAACCGCCGTATTTTATGGGGTAGTGGCATTCAAATCAAAGATTGATGTTAAAAGGATTTAAGATTTGGAAGGAGGCCTTCGTTATAATAGTTCAATTTATCATTAGAATATTCATTCAGTTTGTGAATTGATTTAGATTTCAGACAGAAATTGTTTGCATCATAATTAACGCAGACGATGTATGACCTTGAATTGGATTGTTTTCATCATAAATAAAGCAGATGATGTATGACCTTGACAGTATTTATTGATTTGAAGCTATAATTCAGGTAACGTATCGATTTTGATCTTGCTCAGATGTTCAAACTGGCACTTTATTTGAGCACAACGTTCCCATTATTTACCACATAATACATATCAGGTATTTATATAGGCAAGAACGAAGGTAAGTTCATGCAACGAGTTAGCAGCATAAGGAGCAATTACAAGTCAACGAGTAAGTTTGGCGTAACCAACATTTTCAAACCTATTATTATTATATATTATATATTATTATATACATTGTGAACCACAGTAGTCCCCTTATAGGGTTGATCATTCGAATATTTTGTTATTTGCAAAGCTTTAAAGACAATAGTTTCGAATGAATTTAAGAATCTTTATTTTGCGGATCATTGGTTTCCGGTTGCGTCATGTTAAGGAGATAAATAATTGTGTTCAAAAAAAGAACCAAGCAAATATTCAGTACGGAAAAAGAAAATACGCGAAGCCTTTTGAAAAAATTTGCTGTGGCCAGCATAGATACCATCCTCACGACATTGACTAAATGTATTTCAGTTCTTAGTAAAGTGTACTGAATAAAATTGATCCTCTACGGCACTGATACAAATTTTTCACAAGTAATTTTACCCACGGCTAAATTTAAATACCCCTTACCTTGAGAAGTTTGGCTTCATATCTCCTTTTTAAATCTGAATATCACAACTTCACGCTTAAATACGAATTCCAAAATATATAATTGAATATATTGACAAACTAAAGGTGATCCAATTCCATAGTCTTTTACATTTTTTCTGATTTAAAATATTGATTTGTTTCGTATAACTACAGTAAATACAAACCCTATATCGTGGCCCAGTATCAGTTTCAATTGTTTGCTTATCTAAATTTTTTATAATAACAATAAACTCATGACAAACTTTTACATAAAGTACTTAGACACGCCTTATATTTAAACAAAATTTGAATTCATGCAAAGAAATATTATCACTAAATTAAATATAAGTCCCCAACTAATGAAAAAACAGATTACTATGTATGGACCCAATTATAATCATTAAACGCAATACAAGTCTGTTTCATGCAATTAATTTCCACAGATCGGTCCCTTTAAAGATATTGCGATTACGTTAAATACACATCCACTGACAAGGGATCAATATCTTTTACAATTCAAAAAACTTAAAGGACCTTACAGATGTTTTTCCTTAGGTTACAAATAGTACTGCTCCCTCCAAGAAAAAATGGAAACTGGATCGCTTTGGGTGATACGGCAACATCCCCCACTGTGGAGATCTCGCGTATGGAAATTTTCCGGACAATGAAGCTTGTCGACTGCATTCAAAACTTGCTTCAAATTCTCGAAGAAACAAGAACAAACGGAGTCGACATTCCAACGACCCTGCACACGCTCTTTTTTCCGCTTAGTATTTGACTTTTTCGTGAGCAAATGCCATTTTAAATACTATTTAAGCGTCTCTGATTTTCCATGAAGACCATTTTAGGCCGATGAGTTTGTTTATGTCACCATTTCTTCGCAACGCCCTAGCATGGGGGCAGCCATGATGTGCACTCACTTAGCGCGAAATTCAAATCAACTAATAAACAAGCATTAACATCACGTTTTCTAAATAAATTACTGTGACACATGTCATTTTCCAAGGCTGCAATAGTCTCAAAACTTGAGCACTAGGAAAATTCCCCTAGAAAATAACTAAAAAATGCACATCATGGCCGCGCCCATGCTAGGGCCATTTCTACCGCTATGCAACTGTTTGATCAGCAGTCCATCTTAATTTATAAGTTCATGTCAATGGTCCAAGTAAAAAGACCAATCGGAACCAAAGCAAATGTCTGACCAAGCCCGCTGTGATCCAACGATTCTATGCAACCTCGCAGATAGCCCAGGCTTTTCTAAATACGTTCGTTTTATCACTCGCTAATCGCAATACCCAAATTAGCGTTTACCTTTCGTATGAAGCGAATAATACGTAAATTTTCATACAATGAAATACGACTTCAAAACATTTAAAACTGCAAACCGAGTTATGATTACATCAGTACATGTTAATGAGGTAGGGAGTAAGTTAGAGGAAACGTGGCCACGACGTAGATATTATACTTTAGTATTTGTCACATCGTAAAGACAAATGTAAGATAAAGTGGAATTTGGATCGATTTTTGTAAATTTGAATCAACAATCATTTTATTTTAAATTGCTATTTATTGTCTGCAATCAATCAAAGTCCACACGAAAGTACTAAGTGTTTGATTAAAGGTCAAAGATAATATTGATAATTCAATGTCTACTGTCACTTTTCATTCCCATTGCCGTTTAATAACCCCGGTAAGAACAGTGACGCTTTAGTTCCTTAAATCAGTAAACTGTAATAATAAAATAAACAATAAATACGTGTATTTTAAATTCCGTAAATACCCGACCTGATCCTATCTATTGACCGCATTACGATTACTCTGAATGCAGGGGCACCTCTAAAACGAGTCACTCTGTAATTGGGCGAAATCCTGTTGAGGGCCCAGAACAAGAGGGACAATAAATAAATAAATTACGTTTCTCCTTGGTTATACTTGTGTTATATTATGGTTATACTTATATATAGACTCCTCAGGTTGCGCTGTTCAAATTATACACCCGCTTACTATGAGAAATATCATGTTCAATCGGGACTTCGCTAATTGATAGCTGCTATGGTCTATATTTGCCCATTAGTAATCGTTTACAGTTGTGTTGCTGCAATCCAGGAACCCTCGAAGACATTGAAAGTGATAACCGAATAACGCCATACGTAAAAAACAAATCAACAAAACAATACCGATCACGGTCGGAGTACGATACAATCGTCACTTGATGCGACACCGTTGTCTTTTCTGCTTGAACGAAACTGGATACCCATATACGAAACAAAACCATACAGATTTCCAATGTTAAAAGTTAAAGAAGCTATTGTTTCCATTAGAAAAACCAAAACTTTGTGACATCCTACAAATGATAGCCGGACTGGTCTCCATATCATGGTGTGCCAATCATTATTTTTTTGTAACCTCGCAGAAGTTATGAAATGCAGTATCATATGGTAAGATAATGTGAATGATCCCCTAGTAATTGTATACTACTTGAAATTTGAACCAATCCGATGTCTGTTATCCGAATCATTGTTTTCAACCAACTTTTGACTTCATAGCTTATTGTATCTTATCACGTAAAGTCGAGACGCTTAAATCTCTTAATCACCAAACCATTTGTAAGATATCATATCATATTAAGTCGCAAATCCATACATTATAGTATGAAACGGGTAAGCAGATCAACGATTACAATTGAAACTATTACTGATTTTTAATTAGAAATTGCGAATTGCAGTTATAGGGGCGGGCCCCGCGGGTTTAGTTTCGGCGAAATATGCATTACAGAAATCCTACGAGTGTGATGTCTTTGAGCAAACAGGTTCCTTGGGAGGCAATTGGGTGTACAGCGAAGGCGAAGGTGGCAGTGAGGTTCAGTCAAGTATCTACAAGGATTTAGTGTAAGTCGATATTGCAATTCTATGTAATACCACCTTCACCCTCATGTTTAGGGTTAATGTCCCTAAAGAAATAATGACGTACTCAGATCATCACTATCCAATAACTTTGAAAGAATCGTATATTGCTCATCATCACGTTCTTGAGTATTACCAGAGTTACGCTGAAATGTTTGGACTAAACAAGATAATTATGGTAGGTAGTACAGCTCTAATGTTCAAAGAATATTTTTATGTATATTGTAGTACCACATGCGTGTTACTCAAGTAAATCCAATGGAACACAACCAGTGGCTACTAAAAGTTAAAAATCTCAAGACGAACACTGAAACCAGCACTTGCTACGATTGCGTCTTTGTTTGTAATGGTCGCTTTAAGGATGGTTACATCCCCAAAATTCCGGGACAGAATTTGTTTAATGGCAGTCAAATACATAGCCACGCATTTAGAGTGACCGACCCTTACAAAGGACAAAGAGTTTTAATAGTGGGAGGTCACCATTCTGGACAGGATATCGCTACACTCATTTGTAAGGTTGCCAATCATGTACGTATAGTAATTCCAGGCAATCAAATACTAAAATACTTTACAGGTTTATATAAGTTCGCGTGAAGAATTAAAGGTTGTTGTCCCAGATAACCTTACTCAAAAACCCGAGGTTACTGGATTTACTAAGTGCAGTGCACTTTTCAATGATGGCTCGATGGAGCAGATTGACAGCGTAGTTTATTGCTCGGGTACTGACTGAAATCGGACGAAATAAAACCTAACCATGACGCTCCACTTTTATAGGGTACCTGTATACCTGCCCCTTTTTAACCGAACGATGCGGGGTTAAAGTTGAAAATAACGGTATAGCTCCTTTATACAAACAAATCGTCAACATTGAGCACCCTACAATGTTTTTTATCGCTCTTCCGTACGTTGGCATAGGACCCACTACCTTCGACTTGCAAGTAAGTACGTTAAAACTAGGAGGTATATAAGTAATAGTTTCAGGTTCGTTTTGCAATGGAATTACTGGAAGAAAAATTTAAACTTCCCTCAAAAGAAGCAATGTTAGAGGAATGGGAGAAATTTCTTGAAATGAAACACAAAGAAAATGTCCCGAAAAAGCACATTCACAGAATCGATAACGGTAGAGCAGCTGAAATATATGCCGAAGATCTTGCGGTTACTGCAAACGTTTTTAAATTACCCCCCGTCCTTTTTAAAATATTTGAAAGAGTATTACTTAAGAGAGATCGTATGAATTATAGAATTATTGACGATGAGAACTTTGAAGTAACAATACCCTAAAGCAGTATTGTCGAACCAACATAAATTGTAGGTACAAAAAATAAATTTTATATAGAACAAATAATTTGACTATAAAACCCTGTAAAACCAGTCGAGCGTATTTGTAATAATTGTGGTCACGTTTCATTGAAATTCTTGCCCTAGTAGCACAGGGGGTAAGGGTAACGTTCAACAACAAATTAGAGACAAGGTGAAATCTCTGTTACACATTTTCCCTGTGTAGGAGCGGGAGTAGTACAGCTACCAGTACAATAACCCTACCGCAGAGGGTACTGCGTGTCGTAAGAGGCGACTAATCAAAAGTCCCACCCTACCCCAACTGTTTTCTTTGTTTTAAAATCCGTGAGTTATATAGTTGTGGTATGTTTCTCAAATTTATATTTTCTAAAATGTCTAGATAACCGTATAACAATCTAATTTTTTTCTTAAAATAAAGTATTTCGCGGTGAGGATTGAGCCCCTCATGGAAAAAAGTCATATTAATGATCATTTTTAAATCTTTTGTTGCATCTTTGACATTGGCTCTTTGTGAATTGCCACTACCATATGGGTTCAAATTTTTGCTACTACCATACCGTTTATTTGTAAGTTTAGATTGATGACAAAGTCAGGCAGTTTAGCCTAGCAAACTAGAATGATTAGGGGGTGGACCCGAGTATTGCTCTTCAACTTTGGAACCGAGTTGCGTAAGGGGTCGGTAGGGTTCGCGATATAAAGGTTTTTGTTTCTTTTCGAAGATATGACCGCTAGGAATGGTGAAGGTCCTCCCACATTTGACGGTTAGCGGAAGATATTAAAAAATAATCGGGTGGAGTAGGACAGACGATGTTTTAAACGCAGAGTGGCGAGTGTAAGGTTCCCTCCGTAGGTCCTTTAGACCGTCCCGCTTACCGGAAATCGGAGTCTTGGGTGGTTGTTGCCCCCGCTTTTAAGTCCAATACTTCTTTGTTGGGTGTCTAGAGAGTGGCGTTTCTAGATACAGTTTTTTGTATATAGCGCAATAGGTGGGTACTTTCCACGGCACTGTATGCTATTTTTCCTCCACCAAAACAAGGCACGGTTTGAATAACTAAATAGGACCCATGGGTGTAGGTGTGATTTTATTTGAATTAGTAGGTAAGTTGTGACGAGTTAGGAAAAGTTTTATCGAACTAAGGTCAAATACAAGAGGTACTTGGTAGGGTTGATTTGTGAAATTGTGAAAAAAAATTTAAAGGGTAGAATTTGGTTTTGTAGGTTTGTTTTTTTTAGAAATCGTTTGGGGATAAGCTCTTGTTTATTTTTAACTTGTCGTTTTTCAAATCGCATTTGGTTGTTTTACTTTCAAAAACAAAAAGGGGGTACTGTAACGGTCAATATTTCATAACGACCGTGCACGCATATCTGTAAACGATAGACGCACCCGCATGCATGCGACAATTAATCCTTCCTCACAACTATTTCGGAATGCAAACTCAGTTTAATCAGAATTGAATTTGTGCCATAATGGTCTAGTGGCAAGGATACTCGGCTTGCAACCGGGCGGCTCTGGTTCGATTCTTTGCATGAACAGTTTTTTAATGTTGAGGAGTTTTCCAAAGGGATTACGGGTCTGTTATTCGCGAATATGCTCCCAGGCCACTATTTCGCAGCGACTGTTCTGGTTCCCACTTTTGTATGTATACGTCGTCCAACAACGCCACGCTCTCAGCTGTATAAAAAGATACAAAATTGCACTTTAGGACGGATGATTATTCATCTACGCTAAGTGACATGGAAATTGCAACACCAGGAAATTTTTTAACAATAAATTTAATTTAAGTCTCCCCTCTTTTCTCAGCCAAAACAATTTGTACTTTAGTCATTGAATAAAAAATTAGTCTAATGATGTTATTCTGTGATCATTTAATTTTATCAATTGCTTGTGTAGTGTATAGTTTGAAGGCATTAATGTAAGTACGTCAGGAATGGTTTAATTTTCCTCATTGGTCCGTCATTTGGAAATTCCCACTGATAAATCCTGACTATTCGGAATATGTATTTAACTGTATTACACGTTGTGTAGTATTATTCTTATATGGCAGAATTCCTGTGTGGCAATCGTAATCCTCGGTTTTAACTTGTACTTTCTGGCTATTATCTATAGCGTTAACTATTATTTCACAACAGCCCTGTTATAAATAAATCCTACATACTAGATATGAAAGTGTATCAGGCTGTATAATGATCTCTTATCAAACACCATTCAAAATTTGAATTTGGTGGGTGATTTGATCAACAAATGATTAACTAAATATGTAAGGAACTTTGAACCCACCATTTTTTAGTTCATTTTTCGAGCATCTGGAAAATCAAATTATAGTTTGCAGATTTTTGGATTGTTACGCTGAAAGTTTTCGTCACGCTCGAATTTATGCCACTTAAAAAGAAATATTTTGAGTGTGAATGCGCTGTATTAGAATACGACATGCTTTTAATGAGCCATTAAATAAACTGATTATACCCCATTTCGAGCCAGGATGGACAACAAAATTTCAAATTTTAATTGGCCGTTACTGTTGGCGATTTGAAAAACAAACTTGGTTGTTTATCACAATGAGTTTTTATCACTCGAAATGCTACGAAATAGGCTAACCTCTATTTTAACATAAAATTAAGCTTGCAGGCAACTCACACTCTCACCAGTCTGATTTCAATAACCTTTTCTGAACGACGCGATTTAAAAACAGCAACTACATTCTTGTTTAGATTTTTTCACTCAAAATGAAGTTGGTAAACACAAAAATTTTGGCGCGCCTTAAATGATACTCGCGAAATTAGCTGCAAATAACCGCTATTATGCAAAATTTTCACACACAAATAATACGTGCTAATTCTTAGAAAGTATGACCTCGTCTGCCGAAAGCCCACTTTATATTTCGGTCTCACCAACTTTTTTTTTTCTCTAAAATGCATACTTTCTTATCGCTCTTATTCCAAGCATACCTTTGTTCACGTTCGCTATGAAGCGGTATGTGTAAATTTTCCTATGTTGAATAAAATACAATTTTGAAAATAAAACTTTTGAAAACGGTTAAGCGAGCATCTATTACAATGTTAAATCAACAAATTGTCATTATTTCAATATATCTAACCACAAAATATGTACCTGAAAGCTGCAGTATTGAGTATAACATTTTACCATATATGGTATATAATAGTTATATAACTATGGTATGTAACAGTTACTATGTTATGTTACATAACGTTAGACTGGCGTTAAGTGAAATTTTTTACAAAATCGCAATGCAACAATATCAACCTTAAGTTTGTAATCTTTGTAGATGAAGGTGGCAGTTGTCGGTGCAGGACCTTCGGGTCTTGTCGCGGCAAAGTACTCAGTACAGCGCGGGCATGAATGTGACGTGTTTGAGCAAACTGGCGCCTTTGGCGGTGTGTGGATCTATACTGATGAGGTTGGTGTCGATAAAGAAGGTGTGTTAATTCACACTGCGATGTACAAGGATTTAACTTAAGTTTCTAAATAACAACTGTTACTCCATAGTCAGTGTAGCACCAATTTTCCCAAGGAATTAATGTCAGTAGTTTAAGGACCGCCTGAGCCAGACAGTCACATGCCGCGCCAGGCGAAAGTGAGGTTTGCGCGCACGTGTACGAGACGTACTGAACAGGTAAACATAAACAGATAAACAGGTAAACAGATAAACAGGTAAACAAGATCTGCTTCTTTTTTTAAAAATAAAGCTAGTTCTGTTTATCTGTTTACCTGTTTATCTGTTTATGTTTACCTGTTTATCTGTTTACCTGTTTATCTGTTTACCTGTTTATCTGTTTACCTGTTTATCTGTTTACCTGTTTATCTGTTTATCTGTTTACCTGTTTATCTGTTTACCTGTTTATCTGTTTACCTGTTTATCTGTTTACCTGTTTATCTGTTTACCTGTTTATCTGTTTACCTGTTTATCTGTTTATGTTTACCTGTTCAGTACGTCTCGTACACGTGCGCGCAAACCTCACTTTCGCCTGGCGCGGCATGTGACTGTCTGGCTCAGGCGGCCCTTAAACTACTATCCAAATACAATGCGTCGAGACTACCGCCCTCTCTTGGTGGAAATTTCTCTTATTTGAGGTATTTCTACAGTAGTCCTAGAACAAATAATTCTATAAATTTCACATCATTACTTACCACCCCGTCCTCGGACTAGTCCGTTTTGATTACCCCTAATGTCATAATACCTACTCATTTCAGGTACAGTCTCTCCCCTGGCCCAATGCGAATGGATACATATACGAGCCGCGTGAATTTGAAAACTCAACCATAGGCGTGTAGTGTACATCCCTTTCCAATGATGTGTCACTCGACCCAATGTTCAATTTAAAATTATTGAAGGGGTGGCAACTCTGCTTAGGGGGTTGACAACAGGGGTGTAAATTTTGAAGTAAAAGATGTGCCTCTTCCAACGGAGGTCGACGTGTTTTTGCGTTAGTTTCAAAAACTATTTCTTTTCGAGTTATACAGTCTGTTTCGTTTTTGTTGGGCCACCCTCTGTAATTATTTGAATTGGTAGTTGACTGAGTAAAAGGGCAGTTTCTTGAATGAATTCCTATGCGTCTACACTTGGAACAAAATGCTAATGCGTCGCCTCATAGATTCAAGAAATATACCCTTTTTACTCAAAATTCGTTTTATATTCCATGAAACAACTGTAGTTTTCTATTACGTGGAGGAGAAAGCATATTATCTTATAACTTTAATTCAAGTCTCCCCCCTTTTCTCAGTCATAACAGTTTGTACTTTAGTCTAATGACGCTTTATTGTGTGAGTTTATCAATTGCTTGTACGTGTATTGTGTATTGTTTGAAAGCATTAATGTAAGTATAAACAGGACTTTTTTGATTTTCCTCATTGCTCTGTAATTGGAAATTCCCATCACTTTCCACAAAACTGATAAATCCTTATCTAGCCGGCTAATGTGAATATTTATTTAACTGTATTACAAGTTGTACAGTATTATACCTTACATTATACGGTAGAATTCATGTGTGACAATCCTAATTCTCAGTAAGTACCTA